TTTTACTTAAATATTCTTCCCAACGTGATAACACATTATACAAATAAAAATGTGCAGCTGTTTCACATGTATAGGATAAATCACCTTCAACATTCAAGCTTTTTTGTAAGCGTCCAACTTGCTCGAGTAATTCTAAACGTTTTTTTAATATATAATTAACACGTCCATAACGACTAAAATCTTTATCAGTTTCAAGTTCTTCTTCACCATGACCAAGACGAAGTAAATGTCTTTCATCAACATCAAGTGCCATAATCTTTTCAAATAATTGATTCAATGCTTGATTGGAATGTGTTACAATTAATGTACGTTGATCAGGATAATTATGATAAATATTGGATATAATTTGTACAGCAACATCAGTTTTACCTGTACCTGGTGGGCCAACAATAAGAGTAAGACCGGGCTGCATACCGGCTTTAATACCTTCTATTTGAGTTGGAGTAAAACGAACTGTATTTTGACGTGGTTGACTAAATGGATATGGACCACGATTGGGAATTTTATATGGTTCTAAAATAATTAATTTTTCTCCAGCATGTTCACCTTTGCTTCGTAAATCACAGAATGTTAATCTAAACGAAATAGAATATTAGTATTGTTTTTTCCCTCATTAATTTCTCTTTATTATAATATATTTTGAAGTCCATGACTAGCCATTTTGAAATTCAAACAAAACAATGGTAAAGAATTTATTGGCAACAGTATCTTTAACAGCTGGCTTATAAAGTTGGAAACTTTCGAAGTTCAAAAATCTATACTTGATTGTACCATAAAGAGCAAGAGGGAAAAGGCAGATTTTGTACTCCCAGGATTTTCATCAGATTCCTGGGATCCCCATGGAACTTCTTTGGAATCGGGATCTTGGAGATCCACTTTTCCCTCTTGACTCAGTCTCTGGCGATAACATTTACTAGCTATATTAGTATCGCAAATTTATCAGACTGAATAGACATATACTTATTCTAAGCGCTAGGACAATCTCTCTTTGAACAGATTTTTAATGATTTCGGAACATTAGTTTGATTTAATGAAAATAAATCATATATACTTGAATGGTGGTACGTGTTTTGATCGATCATCTTCAGTTGCACGAATTTTATAATCAGGAAAACTGGCTCTTAGATGTTTGACATCAATAAATGTATCATTCCAATCTAATATTGGAATCTTATTTTTCATACTGAAAAACAAACGAAAAAAGAAATTTCAAGCTTTTTTATGTGATGTTTGTTTGTTTACTTAGAATACTGAGCCGATGCTGGATCACCATAACCTAATATTAAATCTTGTAACCAATCAGGTACAACGGCATTTGTATTCATTAAATCACGTATAGTTTCTAGAACGGCTTTAAAATTATTTTCTTTTGGTTTTCTTCTCATCAATATATTAAATGTATCATAAACATCTTCTGTTCCATTTAATGTAGCTTGAATATCAGTTTGATATTGATTTGGATCAAGCCATACACGCCATGTACGTGTATCGCCAGATAGCATTGGTTTTTCATCAACACCTGAATAAAAAATAAATATTTTATTATAATATAAATAGAGATTGAATACGGTTTAGCTCTTTACCTTCTTCAATAACTCGTCCATCAATATTTAACATTCCTTCAATTTCACAGCCTCGTACATAAGTGAGACCAACTTGTGAAATAAATGGTTGTCGATAATCATAAGTTGTTCCAGCTTTTGTTGATGATTTACAGGTAATGAGAAAACAAATATCATGTTTTCTTAAATTTTCCCATTCTTTTTTTATATCTCCACGCGTATTAAGCACGAGTGTAACATCAGCTCGCACACGACTTGGATGAGATTCACCAATATTTGCTTTAGCAACTTCAACAATAGTAAAATTTGTTATTGGTTGAGCCATACGTGACCAACCACCAAATATACATTGTTGTTGAGGTTGTTCATCTTTATCATTTGTTATTGTTGCATCATTTTGCCATGGTTTCATACGACTTACAGAATCTTCAATATCTTGACGAATTTCATAAGTTGATTCAAGACGAAATAAATGAAAATTCCGTAAAAGATAATCATGCAAGGTTAGAAATTGTAAATTTAACTTTGGTAATGCTAAACAGGTTTCACCATTATAAAATTCTGTTGGAACAATATCTTCATCCCATATTGTTTCTTCTGTTGGATATAATGGTAAAGTATTAATTAACTAGAACAATAAAGTAAACAATAGATGAAAATAATATTTTATTCAAGACTAACAAAATCAGTTGTTTTCTTCAAACAAGGCACTATGCTCGTTTTGCTGAAGAAATCTAAAGACTAATTCTGAATCCGTAGAAGTTTTACTGAATATTAAATTAAAGTTTATGCTTAGATAATAATAGTACTATTATAGTATCTAGATATAATCTATGATTCGTGTTTATTTTTTGTGTGAACACATCATATGATTAAATCAGTAGGTTTATCTATTACTTATTACATATTTTTCTTGTTAGTTCATATGTCCCATTTCAAGAAAAAATTAAAATAAATATTTTTGTTTTTCGAACAGTGAAAAACAGACTGGTATATGTTAAAATTTTCCTAAGTCGAGTGTAAAATTTTCATTATGGTATTCTCTCGTAAGAAAACTTCAGTTTTTCTAAATTCTATGTCGATGATCAATTGTCTTATAATCTATTGAACAGATTGTTTTAAATGATCTTACTTGTAAATGACTTTGCATTCGTTCATGTATTGATATAAGTACTTCAATTAAAAGTTCTCTATTATCAATTTGAATCGGTGGTTGAAGTGATGCTGCAATAGAGTTTAATTGACTATCACTTAATTTATCAAATTCTTCATTTAATATTTCACGTTTGTCAATTAATTGAATGTTTTGTAATGGAAATGTTGGCATTTCATCTCGAAAATGTTTAAATACAGCACTCTGTAATTGTAATACTTTTTCGTAATGTTTTTCCATCATTTCATTTTGTGATAATGTCTCACCAGTTGTATCATTGATTTCAAAACTTGAATAAAATTTAAGATTACATAACATTTTATGAAATAAATTTGTGGTTTTTGTTGTTGCTCGTTCTTCGCCATTTTGAGCTGGATTTTTTTTTTTCATTGATGTTTCAACAACATCAGTTTCCATATTTTCATTACTTTTTGTTAATGATTTAATGAATGGTGATAGAAAACAACGCTTAACAAAATTCATATCATCAAGTACAACATTAAAAAATCGACGTGTTGGTAATTGAACAATAATATCCGTGAATAATTCAAGAAAACGTTCAGCATAAATAACTGTTTCAATGGAATATTGATCATTGCTATTCATTGATTGAATATTTTCAATCAAATTAAGAAAATTTTCAGCTAACTTTCGTAAAAATGTTCGTTCAAACAGTGTTGTTTGAAGTTCTTCATTTTCTAATTTTTCATCCTTTTTACAAATTAATTTCCAAAGTTTTCGAAATTTTGGTGTTTGATCTAATTCATATTCTCGTCTTTCCTACATAATGAATAATTCAAAATATCGAATAGGCTCCTTTTTTTACTTCTCGAAACAATAAAACTTACTGAAGTCAAATTAGTCCATATGGTTAAGCCAACTATCTTTTGTATTTGAGATCGAATGACTTCCAATTCCTACAGAAAAAAAACAAAAGTAATTTGATTTAGTAAGTCAAAAATAATCTTTGCTTTCCATTAGATTTGAGTGTGGCCCAGCGTTGGTGAGCTTACACAAAAAATTCGTACCATCATGCTTAAAAAGGATTGTTCTGGGATGATTTTTACGGACATCGAATTGTACATGGATATGAATTTTCAATTTGAACGATTAGTTAAGGACATTTTTTTACAGACGAAATTATTCGATATTATTATAGCAACAAAACACTATTTAACTTGAAACGTGATCTTAGATATAATAAAAATTCGCCTATAAGTTTATAAAACTTTGATGGTTTAACTTTAGATTGTTGTCATTTTTACTATGTGTATCTTAATATCAATTGACGAATATTTTTTTTATATACTTACAAGACTGTTAAAACAATGATCAAGAAACATAATTAAAATAGTTTGTTCTCGTATCGATAATTCATCGCCTTCCAAAGATAAATGCATAACACGAGCAAAGAATCGACCAAAATGTTCTGGATGAACATTAATTGCCTAAATCAATCAATCCAATATAGAGCTAAAACAGTCTCTATTATTGATACATACATCCCATGGTTGTACACGTTCCCGAAATTTTTCATTGACCATAACACAAACAGACATCACATGATAAGGTGAACACTGATAAAACAAAATTCCTTTTGAACTTCTAGTTAAAACAAAATAGAAATTTACTTGATCTGGATTTAAATTTGGCCATAGAAAATTTTCTAAATATTGGCTGAATTCCAATAGAACGATTCGACGAAGGTTGAAGCTTAAACAAAGAAAAGAATTTTTAATCGAAACTAATACTTATCATTTCTTACTTGGTACCCAATAATTCTTTGATGTAAATTTCATCAACCACTAATCGATCATATGCACGTCTTTGTAATGTATATGATGCCCAATATTGTTCCGAAAGCTAGAAAGAATTAAATAGATTACGAGTTTCATCTTTCGCTTTCTCACTTACAAGTGTAATACGATCTTTGTTAATCTGTTCAACGGTTGGTGCTGCATTTTGACCACGAGGCATGATCTGAAAAATATCTACGCACATATAAGAAAACAAATCAAGCGTCTTCTTTCTTTTTATTGAGATAAATAAATAGGATTTTTTAGATAAACGAGCTAAGAAAGAAAAGAACATAACAATGAGAGAATAAGAATGCTCGCTATTTCAGTACAGAAGAAAAAAGCACACACTTCATGTCACTAACACAATAGAGATGATAAAAATGAATAACGGAAAAAAGAGAACACAAGCACATGTATATTTATTTATTTATGTATCTATTGAAAATTCAGTGGTGGATAAAAACGAAAAACTTTTTCGTTTTGTTTTCATTGAAGAATATTTCGAATTTCACGATGTAAATGGTAGAGAAAATCAACATATGATGCACCACCTGTGAAACCTTTATCTTCGATGAGATAATTTTTGAAAAATGGTTCAACTGAATCACGCTGTTGAATGACAAAAGACTTTAAGAAAATAATGATAAGAATTACGATTAATAATTAGAAAAGATGATAAAGTTTTTCTCATTACTTTCATATATGAATTGCGTTCATTACGAATTAAATTTAATAGTGCTCGAACATTTCTTGATATTGGATTATCAAGATCAACAATGCGACACTAAAATTGAAAAAAAGCAGCATTTAACAATAAGAAAGTAAACTCATATAAATACTTTTTCAGCTTGTATATGTGACGATGTTTGAATACCAAATAATGATTGTACGAATGTTGAACTGAGTTGACTTCCAAGCCAAATGTACATCACAAGACCATTCTCTAAAACAAATAACGAGTACAATCTAGTCTTAATGATAAAATAGAACGCTTAGAAATCGAGTTCATAGTAATTATACGAAAACAACGATTGCTTGATGGCAAGTCGAATTTGCTGACAGATTCAGTAGAGATAAAGGTCTTTTTGTCGAAATATTCTTTGGTCAAATTAACTCTATATTTCAAAGGACAGCGACCTTTGATAATCTCTTCTTTCGAGTCAGCAATTATTGTAAGAAGCACTATCTGTGATAGTAAACGAGCTTGTTGTCTCGTTACTAGTAAATAAAAAGTGTCGTTTCTTACTATGGCTACCCACATTCAGCTCGGAACAAGTATATTCTCACAATCTAATTCATATAGAAACGTAAACAAATGATAAAATGTTAACTAGTTTTTAACAAAGATAATACTATGCAATCAACGTCAATTATAAGTATGAAAAAACTCGAGTCTCTTTTCCAATTAAATATTTGGATATTTTCGTATCTGCAGTGAAGATCAAATTCACAGTAGCTGATATCTAAAATAAATAATTTCTTTTTTCTATAATTGTATTTCGTACCAATAACATAAGCTCCTGTTTCTGAGAAGCGATCATATGAACATCGGATCATTGGTGGTGGTATTTTGTCTTCTTCCAAATTATGCTGAATAGAAAGAAAAGACGCATTTTACATAATACTAAAAAAATAACTTTTGTAATGATTTTTTTTACACACCAGAGCAAAAACCCTTGGATACAGATATGCGAATGTTCCTTTAATATTCATAGACATTAATCGATGCATTTGTAAAGTTCGATCGTCAGTTGTTACCGTTTGAGCTTAAGTTTTAGACAAAACAAAAAATAGAACTTGTATTTCTATGGAAAACTTCAAAGCATACTTCCAGTCAAACCATCACACTTAATCAACGATGTAACATAAACTGGTAATAATTTTAATGTTTCAGGTAAAATCAATTGTCCAGCTGTTGTTGATTGTGCACAATTTTTTCGATAACATGCTAACATATTTGCTGATTGTGTAATTATACTATCTCGTATGCTCTTTGGAGTTGACACTGCTATTGAACGTACCGCTAAAATTTAAAGAAGAATGAATTCATAGTGAAGTTTACTTTGAAAAACAAATTATCGGTTTTCTACTAACCAACTTTTGTTATATAATTCATAATTGTATCAAGATCACAAGCTGGATAAAGGGATGTATATGACGATGTAACTGTCAAAGCTAATGTTAATATACGTAAACGACGTTGACCCGATATACTTGTATAAAGTAAAGCAGCCTATTTGAAATGGATGAAAGAAAATGAAAAAGAAAAATTCTGATTTACTTGAATATAAGTATTGCTTTCAACAGGTAATTTATCATCATGTTTTAATTCTACACAAACTGATTTATCCGAATCAATTGTACCAAAGATCATTTCAGTTGCATTTGTCATATAAAAATTGCCCAGAAAATCAATTGGTCGAATGCCTAAATCATAAATACAATATAGATTTTGAGTATTTGAAAGTTCGTTCGATGATCATGTGAAGTTCAACTTTAAAAGAATTAAAAAAGAACAACAAGAAATGTACCTGCACTAGTTCTCACACGCATTAAAGCATCAAAAGCAGTGGCTCGTTGAAAATTCCTTTTCAAATCATCTAATAATCTTTCACCATCATTTTCAATCTATAAATTAAAATTCATTCATAATTAATAAAAAAAAATAGAAATAAAAATTTTACTGAAAAATAGTTAAATTTATAAGTTTGTCCACCAGATACACGACACACTTCACTAATAGTCGCCAAATCTATATAATTATTTGGAAAAACAAATAGATCTACAGCACAGCCGTGTTGTGCGCATTCTTCACCAAGTTTTGTAAAAATATTATTAGCTGGTGCAAGAAGTGTCTAGAATTATTTAAAAACATTCTAGAAAATACATTTTCATGTACGCAAACTAACTTTTTCTTTATCAGTTCCAAGTAGTTTTTTATCATCTCGATTTGACAATTTTCCTGGTGCAACAGCTATGGGCAATGTTGTCGAAAAAACATAAATTTTACCCGAACAATTGGCTTCCTATTAGGTGAATTATATAGAACAGTTTTAGAAAGTTGAAATAAAGAATTTTTACTTTGAAAGCTTGAATACCAGATTGAATAACTGGTGCTAAAATTGTTTCTGTTTCTTGTGTGTTTGCAAATGATTGAGGAATTTGATCAAGTAAACTTTAATGTTGAGAAAAACAACGAGAAATTACTATTTTTTCTGTCTCAAATTGATTTACCTATTTATGACCGAACGTGATTCGAGTGGTGAACCAAGAAAACCATCTAGTAATGGAACAAATATATCTTCAAGATCAGAAACAATCATCATTTGTGGTTGTCCAAGTGTATTCTAATTACGAAAAATTAAAAATATATTTTAGATTGGAACCAAAGAAAACGAAATTATCTCATCTAACTAAATAACATTTTACATGCACAGGAATCGATATACGTAGATGAGAAAATGATTAGAAATATAAAGCATTAAACAACGCTAAGATAGATAATACATGCGTAACTTATTATATCTTTATGTCAACGAAAAACAAATGATTCTACTTGCCCCCTAGAAGAATGATATTTTTGTCAAAGAAAAGCTTTACATGGAAAAGTTGTAATATATTACTTTAATATTATAGAAATGTATTTGTTTATCAAATGTTGCAAAGCCAACACGCACATTAGACGTTTCAGTATCTTTATCTCTATAAAAAATGAGAATGTTTTCAAAGAAAAAATGTCAATCAACACACCTTGGTAAATAATTAAGAAGTTCATTTTTTAATATGTGGCAAATATATTCAACTAGGCCACTACGAACACTATTGTATGATACATCAATCATAAATATAAATGCTGGTGGTTCAGGCCATTTTTCATCCTAGAAAAAACAAATTACAGTAAAAAGAGAGGGTTTCATTATGAACTATGACAGATATAACAAGTGGAAAAAAGAATGCAAATTCAGAAGATCTGTGGACAACACAAATTAAAATTTCAACTATGCTCAGAAAAACTTTAATTCAAGATAATGTCTTTTCAAGATTGATCACAAATCTCGAGACACACTTAGATAATTATCAAACAAAGTCTAGAGTAGCTGAATGGCTTCTGAAATGGAAGAACTGCGTCAGTGTTTGATTTACATCGAAAAATGCAATAAATAAAATAAGATTATATTATATTATATTCTTCATGTGGGCTGACATCGAACATTTCAATAGATAGAATGCTTGATTTAGTAAATTAGTACTGTAGATATTATGATAACATAAAAAATTAGCATACTTTACAGTATTGTTTTGTTGCCAATACTTCATATGAACCAAGGCAAAGTTCTGGTCGTTGATACCAATCCATACGGCGGCCACTATGATCAAGATGATTAAAGTATTCAGGTGGCACTGTTGTATCAGTAATAGGAGAAAATGAATTTTCTCGTAAAGAAAAATTTTCTATCATACCATCAGTGGCAGCTTCACAGAAGCAGCAAATAAAACGTTTGCCACCATCAATAAATTGCATAAATGAACACATATACGCTTTACAACGATGACATCGGATAGGACCTATTTCACCAAAATTCGCAACGGGAGGTTCGAACTAAAAAGAAATCCTTTTTATATGCAAAATTTATTTACTCAAGATATTGAAATCACTTCATCTGATCGCAGATTTGCTAGTGGGCTAATAGCAAGAGCAATTGGTATATGTGATTGTTTAATCATATCAGTTGCATATGGTATAGTATAGGTGGTTGAACGAATATAACGAGGATTACAACTACCTTGATCTTGACATACAAAATCTGTTGCTGCTAACGGAGGGATTGAACCAGGTGCATTAGTTATAAATAGTTCCTGAATTTTTTCTTGACTTTGTTCAAGAACTTGAACCTAAGAAATGTTTTGTTAAAATTAGACGTTCTAATTCAGCTTGAATCAAAATAAACTCAACATACTACATTAGGTACCATATCCGGATCGATCCGTTGTGATTGATATGTCTGTTGCGTCGGTCCACTCGATGGTGGTTGACCAGGATATGTATTTGGTCCGCTAGGTGGTTGTTGACCTGAGTATGAACTTGATCCACTCGATAGTGGCTGGGCAGGATGTGTATTTGGTCCACTAGGTGGTGGTTGACCTGAATATGCATTTGGTCCATTCAATTGACTACCAGATTTCGTTGGCGCAGTATAAAAATTTGGCTGATTAGGATAATGAAGTGGTAGCGGTTGTTGGGAATAACTGGTTGCTGGTGGGGATTGACTAATTGGAGCGAATGATGATGAAGGAGCATTATTGTAAGGAGGTTGACTACCAAGATATTGATATTGTGGTACACAACTCATACTTGCTGATGATTGATTCGGAAAAGGAGGTGGTTGTTGCTGTGGTTGTGGAAATTGAGCGTTGGAGAATGTCGGGGGTGCACCAAATTGATTGGATGTAATGGTCCCCTGTTGCATAAAGGTTTGATCTGAAATATAGACATAGATACACGTATATATGTGAGTAAGATGTTATTTAAACAAACATACTTATTTCAGTAGGCATTATTGATGCTTGACTTTGATATTGTTGTTGATTTCCTGTTGGCGTAAGGGAATGCGTTGGTGGCTGTAAAGAAAAGGGTCCTACTGATGGTTGTTGCATGCCAGAAAGATTTGGTTGTTGTGTAGAGAATTGTGCTTGTAGGGACTGTTGAGGACCCGTATAATTGAGTGATGGTGAAGGAAATTGGGATGACGAAGGTTGTTGATTGCTTGTATGATGCTGTGGATGTGATTGAATTTGATGATTTGATGACACTGGTGCTTGATAATGTTGACTACCGGAAAAATTCGGTGGTAAAATAGGAGGCTGTTGTTGATTGACTGGAAAATTAGGTGGCACAGTAGGCGACTGAAATTGATTTGGATACATTGGATACGGTGCTTGTGGCTGTTGTTGCATTGATTGAGAAGGAGGACCAGAATTAAAACTTGGACGTGGCCCAGCAAGCATTTTTCTTGTTAGGAAATCTATAAATAGATGACTATTTAAAAGAAGTGAAAAATTTGAAAAAAAAATAGTAAACATAAAGAATTGGTACTTTGTATATGTATTTTTAGTTAAGCAAGATAGTATTACAGTTACAATGAAAGGATGTATGCGTAGATTTTTTTCTATTGGCTATTGATCACCATTCTGTCATTCGTAGTTCGTCAATAATAATGGATTCCTGGTAATATTTAAAAATTCAAATTAATCAATGATAATCAGATAAAAATTTTCAACGCAAAACATAAACAATAAAGAGAAATATATCGACACCTTCATTTTTTTTTATTTCAACGGCAACGACTATTGGCGACATCTCCCAGACGAGTGATGACAAAAGATCAATAAATGTGTAATATTGTGGCAAAAAGAAATTTTATGATAAAATATAAACGTGAAACAAATACTATAGATTTTCATTTCTATCCGATTATTTTGGGAATTCTTGAGGCTCACATTTTTCAAATCCTAGCTTTATTTTTCCTACATAATTTTTGAAGCTAGTGTAATTCTGTCGGTGTATGAAAAATGCACCTTATTTAGCTTTTACTCTAGTTTGATACTTAAAGCCTTCTTTATCTGTGATTATCACAATAAAAAAATGAAATATTATCATCAGTGTCAGTTTATGTAGAATTACCGCTATTAATTTCAGTAAAAGCATATTTACCGAATTAATGCTGAAATTTGTTAATTTGATTTATTTTGTCAATATTCTAAGGTAGAGTTGATATTGCGGATATAAACTTGCTCACCAAATGAGTAATGATAATTATAATCTTCTGCGTTTAGAAAAGCCTATATACAGCTGACAAATTCGTTCAAAACAATCTTGTAGCACTACTATCTGAAAGCAATTGCAATACTGGATGGAACATAACTGAGGAAAAGAACTAGTTCAAAACTGTTGAAATCTTATGCTAGATCAGGATCAACATTTAAAAAACATACTCAACTTCATACATCATAACCTGATATTTAAATCAGTTTTGTAAGACCTTAACCAATAAATAGAAAGCTACTATGAAAAATGTGTCTTCTTCGTAGTGTAAGGTAATATAAACGGTAACAATGCATTTCAACGCCTGAAGCAAAACAAAATAATATAAAAATCAAAGCAGGTAGTAGTCTCGTACCTATCGTGTGCTACATGTGCACACAAGCAGGTATGATTGATATTAAACTAATGTGATTTGAAAACTCAACTCAATACGGTAGACAAAGAGCTGAATAACATTACTATTTTATCGAAACATTCACCAAATAAGCATTATCGCATATATTTAATTATACAGAAATATTATTTCTTTTTTTTTATTCAACTATGTTGAATTTCTGTTCCTTGTAGCAAAGTAATGTATTAAGATTCACGAAAACAATAAATACCTACAAATACTAGTTAGAATATAGGCCTTTATCTCATGTGAAACTTCATGAAGTTGAAAACGTTTCGACTATTTCAAATGCGTATAAATGAACTGAATCAAATATATTGTTTCATTTCATTCAAACTCTTATCTTCGTTCTGTTTTTAATACAAGTACAATGGGAAAATTAAGAAATTGAATAGATCATATCATGAGAATCAACAAAAGCTAATCAACAGCATGAAACAGAGAACACGAAAAAGAAAGCTTGCACTGAAACACAAATGTGTGCATAGGAAAAAGACAATAAACTGTATATATAATAAAAAAAGAATGCAAATAAAAAAATCACGAATTTATCATCTTGTTTTTAATGCTGAAATTCTTCGTTTTCTTGAAATACTATCATCAGCTTTTAAATTTAATACTAACAGGCACAAACATAAGAGAAGATTTTTATAAAGAGAGATTAACGGAAAATGAAATAAAATCTGTATGTATAAATAAATATACACAGAGAAAAATCAGACGAAAATCTAACATTCAGTACCACGGATGATCGGTGATGCTAATGTTTGGTATCTTGTTTGTTGTTCAAGACCAGATTGATTCACATAATGTTTTTGTAGACTATTTTGTCTTGATTTAGCAAGACCGGTACGCATAGTATCACCATTAAGTAAACCAACAATGTCTGATTGTCCGATACCAGAATCAGTCGATGAAACAGGACGTTCTTCATACAATCTTAATGAATTATCGGAATTCGGATTATTTAAACGCGTACGTGAATTTGAACAAGAACGTGGTTTAGGTAAGGGTAATGAAGTTTGATCGATATTTTCATGAGGCAAACGAACAGAACTTAATGTTGAATAGCGTGGTTTTAATGGAGGTGGTGCATTTCGTTTTGATGGAGATAATGGAACAAGAAAGGAGCCACTTTCAGAAAACACATCCGTTGTTGTTGAATAAACTGGTGATTCATTTCCTTCTTCTTCTTCATTCTTTTCAAGTTTTTTTATTGTTGGTATAACTTTATTCGTTGATGATGATGGCATATATTTATTATCTATTGTTGGATGATCATAAAATTTATTATTCACTGTATGTGCACGTGTCGATATTGAGTTCAGACTACTTGTTATAGAATCTCGATCGATATATTTTATATGATTCGATTGTTTCAATTTCTGTTGATGATAGACAGATGCCGATGACGACGGAGATGTTGTATGAGAATGTTTATCATTCGTTAAATGAGCTGGAATATCATAAACAATTCTATTCTAGAATAGTTATTATCGAAATCATTTTATTTGAATTTATCTGTTTTCATTGAAAATTTCAAACTAACCTGATGAACACGCTTTTCATTTTCAGTAGGAACCAATTGTAAAAGTGTATCGTCTAAAATAATATCAAAGAGAACTTTCTAGTTAAAGTTTATCAGTAATATAATCATAATATTGATGAACAAATATTAGAATAGAGGATAATTAGGGAACTGATTTCTACGTTCATCTCGTACCAGTTTTTGGTTTTAATACTTCGTTCTCGGTTGACGAATAGGGATATTCTATAAGTATATATATATACATATATATAAATGGATTCCTATTTTTGCTGAATCATAAAATAAACTATCATGAAATGGGCATGCTAAAATAAATATGACTGGTTGACACATTTTTCAACAAGAAACTTTGCTTTTATATTTTATTTCCAAATCAAGATAATAAACATATATCGATGATATAACAGAATATAATTGAAGTTGATTACTCCTGGCAATGCTTATTTCAATTTTTCTGTTAGAAACAATAGCTTAGAAAGCATACTTACGTTTTTTTTGATAATAATCATTTTTTTCGGGAAATTTTGTTTGCTCACGACAACTTGTTCCACAAAGACAACAAAAACAAAATAACAGAAGCGTACCACCAAATATACTTCCAATAACAGCAATAATTCTCCTGTTAATAAATGGTGTTTCTTTGGTTACTAAAATAAAACGAGAAAATAATTAGATGTTCCTTAAAAATTTTCTTCTATCGTTCTTTTGTCTCATTTACTTATTGGCTCATTTAATCGAATAATATAACCATAAATATTGTGTGGTAACGATCCATAATGATTAAAAGAACCGACACGAAATTCAACCGGTTCATGAGAATTCTCAAGTGCAAAAATGCAAGATTTCGTTCGAGCGATTTCTTCAAAAAGGTTTTTGTTCAATTTATCATTAAATTTAAATAGTATACAACCATAGCCATCTAGATCACCTTGTGCATAGCTTTTCGTACAACTTATTGTTATAGTTATATTAGAAGAATATGTATCCACATTACAATGTGTTATTGGATCGGGTATGCCTAGAAAAGAATAAAGTAAATCAATTAAATTTTTAGAAAAAAATAAAAAGCTGATATAAGAGAAAAATTTTAACATAAGAGGTTGTATTCATTTTACTCTTACGAACATTGCTATTACTATAACTAATGGACACATTTGATTACTGTATGACAATATAATTAATGGGTAGCATCTGTTACTAAAAGACAATAAAATAGATCATTTGTACTATAGATGACATTTCGATTCTAACAATAGAAAATTGTTGTGTTCGCATTTTGAGAATATCATACATAGAGTTTATCACTGAAATGATAGAAAGTAAATATTTGACAGTCATATAGATTTGAAAATAGTATTGAAAAACAAAGCTCGCAAACACAAATATTTAGATAATATCAATCATTCTATGAATTGAAGTATCTTATTATGATTGTAAACGAACAAGTTCGAATTTTTCACCAGAAAATTTTTGATTAATTCCAGAACATAGATCAACATTAGAAACAACCAATTCTACTCATGACTATGAATCAATTTACATTAAAATTCATAGGTACTCTTGTTGCTTTTTAACAGAACCAGATGATAGTCATCTGATTGTATTCTTCTCTTTATGAAAGTAGATATTTCTTTTTCCTTGAAGCGGAAAAAATGTTTAATATTTATATTATAGCACATATTAGAAACGTGTTATAACATTGGAAAAAAAGATATACTGAACAGTTGCTCTCTGCTATTTCTTGTCAAGTGAAGGTTAAATTTTTGTTCCAATTTTTTACCTCCATGAATAAGTTCATACGTGCATGCATCAGAGCCAATACTATTATTTGCTGTTACATTAAATGGACGAAAATGTTCAATTGATGTTGGCGTTATATCAAACGTATAATGAAAATCATGTTTGTCATCATATATTCGACGTGTGATTAATGGTGATAGACCATTAATTGAATAACGTATATACGTTGGATTAGCACGTAGAACTGTACAATTTATTGTACGTGTTTGATTTATGCCAGAATAGATTTTTTTTGATTTTTCTACTACACTTGGACGAACTAGATGAAGAAGAAAATAATCCATGTTAATCAACTATAGAAAGTCCTATTTATTCAAACATAATGAATAAATAATGCTGTTAGCAATGTCGATGTTTGTTTTTCATTAAAATCAAAAAATATACATACATTCAATATGAAGTTGTTTCGTTGTTGATAACATAAGTTTCTTATTGATTTGTTTCATATCAACACGACATGTTATATTTCGTCCATTGTCCAATGGTGTTAAACCTAGAATACGATAGACTTCGTAAACACTTGCTTTAAATTGATTAGTGACAATAGCTGGCGCTTGAATTCTACTCGCTAATGCCATGATTGTTGGTGTTATACCATTTTTATCTAATGATATATCAAGTGCAGGACGAGGAAAACCATCGGCAGCACAAGCAATATCCAATGGTTGACCATCAATCGCAGCTAAACAATTATTATTTTCAATTGTGCAGAATTGATCACTATGCACATGAGATGATGTATGAAGATTCGTCATGTATACATGTTGGACGGGTACTAGACACAATAAACAAAAGGACTTCATTCTATTTTGTTTCAATTACGTAGTATATGTATAAAAACAAAGAATTTTGAAATGCGTGTAGATGTGTCGTGTCATTAATCATTAAATAGACGTCTTTGTCTTTTTCTTTTTCTTTTTTTAATAACCTATAAAAGTAGTTTATCTTGTTCGAACTATCAATTATAGAGTAGAATTGCTCGATTAAGAATAAATCATGTGTATAATAAGATATTTTCATTCAGTAATTATAAAAAGTATACGAGAGAAAAGCCTACGAAGAAATTTCATGCTACAATATGATATGTTATGGATGAATCATAGAAGTTATAACATCAAATAGAAACATTTTCATGCATAAATAAAACGACAATAGGATTACACCATTGATAATGAGATATCTTTAAACTTACCATATACTTGAAGTCTTTGCCATTCAGTGTCATCTTGTGGACATTTGTATTGTCCACTATCATTTTCTATAACGTTAGTTATTCGTAATAGACTTGTTCGATATGGATTTGAATAACGTTCATGCTTTGATGGTTCGACAATTAAATTTTTCTTATCATCAAAACTTCGAAACTCATAAGCATAAATATATGTTGTACGATTGTCACATAATTCAATTGTATCACCACGTCTTACATAGATCGTTGCTTCTTGGCCATCAATAATTTTTGTTTTAATTAATATTAATAATATTGCAAAGAAATAAAATGAATAGAATAACATCAGATCATTATGCATAGTTCATCTAATAAATAAAATAAAATTCTGACATATGTAAAAATGTAAATATGTAGACAGACAGACATAGATGATGAATGAGTGTTTGTGCTTAGAGAATAGGGTGGAGAAAATTGAAGTCTTTTTTTTTAAAGAAAAGATTAATTATATGAGTGATAGAAGAAAAGGAAAAGAAGATGCTCTACGATTATCATCAGTTTAGAAATTTCGCGACAGGTAGTAAGTAATAATCATCTACTATTAGAAATGGCAAAAGCAAGAAAGATGAAATGAAACTAATTATTCAACGCAAGCTCGTCGACTATTAACCTTGAAAATAAAAAATATAAGAGAAAGTGAATGAAGCTGTTTTTCCTTTTTATATATGCTCTATGATCATCATTCTAATCGGTTTGCATTTTGATCATGTAGGCGAAAGAAAATAAAAATCCGTCGGGTTACAAACGACACTTAACGATCCGCTCACGTTCAACTACTAGTAATTGCTGCCGTTGATTAAAGACCGGCATACGCTTGCCGTTTTTAACACAATGAATAGTATATTTTTACTATTCGTTTGTGTTACCCGTATTTATATTAGTTTGCAGTAATATTAAGACTAATAAGAGTAAGACGACCATGATGTTGATGATGATGAAGAAGAAGAACTGCTGATCGTTCATATTGCACAACAGTGAGTGTCAATGACATATATATATGGTCGACTTGTAAGAGCAAAAGTGACACAGAGAGAAAGAGAAAGAAACTATGAGTTTGCAAGAATGATGAGCGATACGATACCATGATTGTGTTCATGTATGCGTATGAGAAAAAGTGCCAAAAATAATAATGACAGTCATGAATCGAATAGATGAGAGCAAACATTATAATACACTTAATGCCTCGAGTGAAAGAAGAAAAAATTAAAAATTTTGCAAACCAAAATATCGCAAATTAACACATACCTATGAATGTCAGAAAATAAGTATTGACCATTCGCATATAAGATTAGCTCTCTATTCCTGATATATATTTTTTTTTTCTGTTACATTCCAAATTAACGGGAACAACAGACAAATGTACCAGAACCGTATAGATAATGATCTGAGAATATCTTCTCACGATTTGTACATGTATACGATGACGATCCTACTGTATTTTTTTCTCGATAGTAAGATACAAATATTTTTCTTCTCGTTCTCAATATGGCACTGCTATAAAGAACGCAAACAACCATGGATGCAAACAAGAGTCCCATGTCGATGTGCTTCTCTTCTACTTCGATTTTACGTGAGGGAAAAAGAGATGACCAGCACATCATTTCTGCATTATGAAGACAGGAGAGCAAGCAATTAATGAATGAGTAGATGGATGGATAGCGTTGTTTCTTTTGTCTTTTATTTTCTATGTGTTGTCGTCACATATATGTGTGCAATTACTTCCATCTCTCACGTCAGCTCATTGAAATGTACACACACACGCATATATATTGTTACGCATAGAACGAGAAACAGAGAGTGAAAGATAAAAGAACAAGATGAAAAAATCGTGCATGTACGTTTGATGAATGAATTTGGATAATAAAATGAGTTAACCTACTGACGTCAATACCAAGTGCCTAGAACACGTTCATCCATATAGCTATAATAAGAAAAACTTAAATCATTAAGCATTAAAATAGTGGAAAAGAACATTGTCATGTAATATGAGAATGTCAATTAGTTCTCAACTAACTAGATGAATCAATTATAGGAGTTCCTCTAGTCAACTACTCAATATTGTCTTTTGTAAGCAGATGCTGACAAGGATCAAGATGATATTTCACTTTTTGCTTAAAACTCCAACTTTTCTCAACGAGATCTAAATATAATTGTTCCTACTTGTTCATCAAGATTTAATCAATTCTCTATCGAACGGACTCGTGTTCATTCAATGAAATGCCATGAAAAGAAATATCCTTCAATATTCGACTCAAAGCTCAAACTAATTCAAGTGGTCACTTACAAACAACTCGTCCGAATGATTGAGGCAAAATCTACATACGAACGAACGCAAGTTAATGGCCTACCGCTAACAATGATAGTTGATGAGAAAAAGAAGAAACATTTCAATTTGATTAGTTGCATGTTGCTCAAATTGATCGGCAAGCATATCTCCACGCTCACTCAGAGTGAACAACCATCATCGTCTTACTGATAGTATTACATAAGTTTTGTGTGTGTATGTGTCACATACAGACAATAAACGATCCAATTACACACTCAACATACGCGTTATAGAAGACACACACCTAAAGCTTCTAGCGAATTGGTATTTACAACGTTCTGAAAATGACACAAACAATCAATGATTCAATTTTTTTTTCTTTATTTTTTGACGTCGAACACAAGTTTCGAATACTTGCAAAGGAAATAAAAAGGAAAGAAGAAATAAAAACAGCTTTACTAGTCTTTTTTTATCAGTAATGAAGGAGTATTTGAATATGTGTGCATGCATGTGTTGGAATTCTTAAGTAAATTACTCCAGTCTTTGAATCAACAATCGTACAGAAAATAAAAGAATGGAGACAATCATCCATGAATTATTTATACGTATTTATATAAACACAATTTTGACATCATTGGCCAATTTTTAACCAATTAAAATCGATCAACATACACGTTCGCTTATAATGCATTAACGATTGTAAAAACATGCTCTGCTGAGTTTTTTCTTATTTTAGATTTATTTATTTTATTAGTTCTCTTGAATATTCACAATTCTCGATACATTAAATTGATTACTATTTGATCCAGAATATTTCAAAAAAGAAAAAAAATCTTCACAAAAAGAACACAGAACGAACAAAATATAGTTGACTATTTTCTGGTGTCACGTGCATTTTTTATGTATATACTTTTTGATTGTTGGACGATGTGGACGTTGTTTCTTGTTTGGTAAATAATCGCACATAATTTTTTTTCTCGTTTCGTTTACAAATATTCTTCTATATTCTAGATGGATTTTCTACCTATGACTCATCGATTGTTAATTCACTGCTGTGATGAAACGAAATGCTCACACGGCAAATTCTTCTTTAACTGAAACTAATAATAATAATAATTCATCTAAACGTTGTTGTACTGAAAAAGATAATAAAAATTGTGTGGCAAGGTAGACATTATTTTATTTGTCGATTTCTTTAGAATATTTTCTTTTTAAAAGTAATTCATTAACTGCATCTTCATCATCATCATTAATTGATAATATTTCATGTTCAGTTGTTTCATCATCAACATCAACTGAAAATTTATTAAATATGGAAGAAAATGTAGAAACATTAATTAGTATGGGTTTCACTGACAGAGATTTAAATCGTAAAGCTTTAGAAAAAGCTGACAATGATATTGGTGATGCTGTTACTTTCCTAACTGGCTCAACATTTTTCAATGATGATGTTAATATTCCCAATGAATCCCGAACCACATCAACATTTATTGGTCCTCTGACAAAAGAACAGATGGAACAACAACAACAACAGATCGTAGGATGAGAATCTATGTTGCTTGTTATTAAATTTTTTGCTTAACTTTTAATAGGTTTCCTCGGGTAAGATTTCCGACATGTCCACCGATGATTTATCAATGAATAATCCGAATTCATTTACAAAAAATGCTTTTCTTGATCTTGAAACCAAAGTCTATGGAGACAATTGGTCAATACCTTATAAACGTAAGTTGTAATTCAACGAAATTTTTTCAGTTTGCTTTTGTGATGTTTTAGGTGAAGAAGTTCTCGGTCGATGTTTATTATCTGCTACTAAACTTGCACTTGCTGGTTGGATTAATAATTTTATGATCTTTGCTTTGTTATTAATTTGCCACTTTATTTAGGTATTGCTGATCAAGATGAACATTGTAAAAAATTTATGGAAATTTTAATTCCTGATGCCTTTCGAAAAGTAGGTCAATTTTTTTCTTACAAAATCTATTGATTTCTGGTTTTGTATTAGTTACAATGTTCTCATCATGTTAATAATTGGGGAGTTGAAGTTCAATTAGGCGTCTTTGATATGGTACAATTAGTGATTGATTTAATTGCTGCACGTTTATCATATTTCCCAGTCCCAATACAATTACTTGAAACATTAGCCATACTTTTCGATCATGATTCTGTGTTTCAGCGAAAGCACAAGAGTAAATCATATGATCGTTCACTTTATGATAAACAATTAGGTGAACTCATATTGGCAAATTCATCATCGCCAACATTTTCCGTTTATAATCGAAATGAACCCTATGGATGGTTATGTGAAATAATAAACCGTTTTATTTTAAAAGATGGAATACAAAATTTAAAAATACAATTTAAAAGTGAACAACCTTTAACAGCTCTCGTATGATTCTACTCTATTTTCTATGATAAGTATTTTTGTTTCTGCTTTTCTAATAATTATAGGAATACAATGCGTTGCTATCGCCATTTGTTAACTGTATGGATTATATATTCGTTGAAAAATATCGACAATTATTTAGTGACCATATAGAACAAGCATTAGATTATGTCAAAAACTTAAAAGAAGAAGATTTTAAAGCAAAAGTTTGTTTTTACTATCTTGTGTTTGTGCGTAAAATTATCATTCTTTTTTTCTGATAAAATTTTAGTCAACAAATACAATATTTGAATTATTAACAACTTTACGTAAAATATGTTCTGTTGTATGGACAAAGCGTCTTGAACAAGTTGAAGAATTACATTTGAATCTATTACTTAAAATGGTTGCTCTATCAAATTTTAATGCGAAAATGAATTCACTAAAAGAAGTAACAAGACATTTCAAAAAATAAAGCTTCGTTTTCATTTTTGTACTTCTTTTTAGCTTGCAAAAATAATTGAAAATTGTACATCAAATATACCGAGTATAAGTAAAGCATCGATTCCGCGTGACGTTGTTAGTGAATGGGTTATTGAGCATTCAATACTTTCAAAAGCTTTAGAAGGTAAAATAAAAATTGTTTTTTTTTCAAGATATCTATTCATTTATATCTTCATTTAAACAGGAAATATTGATCAAAATCAATATGTAGAAAAGGTTCGAATATTAATGGATTTTATTGCACCAAGAATTTTAAAAGAAGATATTGAAACTATATGGAAAATGCAGGTAACTAAAAATAAAGAATTCATATTCATACCAACTAGTATTCGAAGCAATAATCATCTGTTGATTTTTTCATGTCAAAGTATTTGAAAATTGAGCAAAGTAAGATTTTCAGTGTTGAGAGTAAAGTTCATTGAATAGTCAACATCATACTCAATGCTTGTTGCTACATATAGAATAATTCTTATTTTTATCTTAGCATGGACGATCTTTAGTTGCGGTCGATCATTTATTTACGTTAGTCGCGTCGGCAGCAGCAAAATTTAATTTAGAACAGTTGAATCATCTAATTGGTTTTATACACAGTGTAATATACTTGTTCTTCTTGATTTTTACTTTGATATATTAGAAAAAATATATTAATATTCTTTATATAGTCATGGAAAAGTGAAACAATTCTTATACAAGAAAAACTAATTGAATTACTCGGTGCTATTGGTCGAGAGTGTCAGAAAGATTCTGCTGCTCGTGTTTTAGAAGTTCTTTGGGATATGGCACATGAAGATAGAATTAGTCGTTCAATGCTTGATCATCTTTTACATAGTCATTTGCGTGTATTTAGTGAAGGTCGTTCACCTTATGATGCACTTAAACGTGAATATTGCCTTAAATGTATGACTGATTTACAACGTAAGCAAGGTTGGCTTGTACCAGCTATAAAACATTTATATGATCTATTACGTCATGATTCAACAAATACATTTAAACGTTCAGAGCCAGATTTAATATCACTATTAGTTAATAAACATGATGTTATATCAGCATTAATACAAAGTTTATCAACATGTCAATTAGATGTTTGGAATAAAACACATGGGCATGTAACGATTGATACATTAGTTGATGGGCGTTTTACACATGAAGAATCAATTAAAACTCATTTAGATTTATTATCATTTTTATTAAAAAAAGGAAATCTTTATTTAATATTAAAACGTAGTGAAGAATTATGGGATACATTAATCACAAATGAAAATGCAAGTTCATTTGATCGTGAACTTGGCTTAAATTGGTTTATAACATGTGTAGAAGATCTTAGTCGAGATTCACAATTAGCTTTATTTGAAAAACGTGTTTCAAAACTTGATCCAGTACATTTATCACTGAAAGGTAATTTTATTAAAGATATTAATTTTTTTGAAATACTATTTTGATTATTATAAGGTTATGCTTGTTTTAAATTATATTTTGAACGTTGTAATTTGGAACGATGGAGCCAATCAAGAACTTTTAATCACAATTCAAATGCATCGACTTCATCAAATGTAAGCACACATTAATTCATATGAAAAGAAACATAGACGTTAAGCATTCATATTAGTAGAATTAATCTAGTAAGATAATGATAGTGAGCTATAAAAAAGAATAGAATAATTAAATTTTTCAGATGACCCCAACAAAATCACATCCTTTTCGTTTGAAAAAAGATGCTCTAGGCGAAATTCGATGTCTCAAGATTGAAGATTCGGAAAATTGAACCATTCTACACCTCTCCATAGTTGATAAAATGAAGATCGTCTTGGTTGCAAAGTGATTTCATACTTCCAGATGTCCTCTCATTAGTTACGATTGCATGCATTATGTTATTTATCGACATTGCTTCTTGGCTAGTATTGCATAATTATAGTCTGTTTCATGCTTGTACACTCATTGATAATAATTAAACAAAATGAAACTGATTGAGTTTGAGATGAGGCGGCGAAAGGAGGAATATTTGTTTAACTTGAACACAGATTTCATTTTATCAAAAATCTATATGGTGTACTCGACAATATTATTATACATCAAAAGTTTTGTACAGCTAGCAACTAAATTTGATATTTTTCTTCTTCTAGACTTGTGATTTCGTTTCTATCAATCACGGGTTTATATTCGTAGTACTGACCATTAGATTCTTTTGAATCTGTTCTGTATCTATATCTTTTGATGAAATATATTTGTGTCTTCTTTCAGTCATAATATGATTATAAGTTACATTTTTGAAATAGATCTTAGCTATTGCTGTCTTACCGAATTTATGTTTTTCTTTCGAATAGAATGAAATGTTAGATTATCAATGTATTGATGAATTATGGAGTATAATTTTATGTGCTGGTGATGATAACCTCGCAAATGATGCTACGCGTTTTTTACTCGATTTATATTGTACAAAACAACCAAATCGTACATGTCGTTCAACATCTCAATCACTGCATCAATGCTTTCTTAAAGAAGTCTATACACGTTTAAGTTCTTTACTTATATCTGCTGATTTACCTTTAACATCATCAACGTCAACAACTGAACAATATTATAAATCTTTAAAATCGTACGGAGAACAATTAATATCAATTGATAATTCAATAACTGTAAGTGAATCATCGAATGAAATTGATCATCAATTATGGTTACAAAAGATAGAACGTTTATTTATGATAACAGAAGAATATATACATGTTGTTGAACATGAACATTCACTAAATGCTCATATAACATCATTTCATGGTTTAGAATATCAAATAAAAATCATTCTGGGCGAATTAGGTAAAACAAATTGTCCGTATGATATTGTAGTTGTTCATTCAAATGATACACTTGATATGTTACGTGCACGACTTGGACTTCATTATAAAGTTCCATCACATGATATACATATATCAATACAAAATACACGTCCATTACCTCAATCTTATGATCATCTAGGTCCTATCAATAATGCTATTGCATTACCAGCAAATAATTCTTCATCCTCCACATCTTCAACATCAACAAATAATAATAATAATAATAATAATGTTCTTGGTCTTTGGTTAAACTCAAAATATTTATATCAAGTTCATATAACACCTGGTACGACAGTTTATATAAAAATCTTAGGAAACACATATAATCAAACAATAAAAATAAATAATAATGAACCAACACGTCTTTTCTTATGTCATAAATCACAAAATATCGACAATGACAATTTAACACGTTCAACACCATCAAATATGATAGCAGAAAATCCAAAAGTCTATGATATTTTATATAAATTATCGTATTTAAATGATAAAAATATTCATAATCGTATACGAAATCTTCTTCGTTTGATGCCATCAGATATTCGTATTGTTGATTTACTTGATTTAGTATCAATACGTGCAGCTAGTGTATCGACAAATGAACGACGGCAATCAACAGAAAATATGAACAGTCAACAAATAAATCCTAAACAAGCAATTGAATATGTGTTTAATTTTGATGAATGCAGTTTAATTAAAATTTTATATAATTTAGAAATTCTCTCAAGTAAACTATCACCATTATCAAATAATATTGGTATTAAACAAAGTTCAAAATTGTTTCGACAAGATTTTATTGAACAAGCAGGCGTTGAATTTTTATTTAAATTATTACAATCATTAAATCATTTTATTCAGGATGATTATCAATATTTATTATGTCAAGAAATAACAATATTAACTTTACAATTAATACAATTGCTATTGTGTGGAAATAATCAACCGGAAGAAAGATTATCACCACCATCACTATCATCATCAAGACCAACATCACCAATGGCAGTTGCAGCAAATGATAATATTATTGATACAATTGATTTTGATTTTCAGGCAAAAATTGAACATTTACAATTCGAAGAATTTGTTGAACAAATAAAACAATTAATCTTTTTATGTTGGGCAGCTGCTGCAGGAAACATACGATTACGTGGACAAGTTTTATCTATTAAAGAACAAGTTAAATTAGATCGTCATGTACTATTACAGCAAATTAATGGAAATATTTTTTGTCGAAACAATAGTAAAAATTCATCATCAAATGATTTAACAACTACTAATATACTAAATACTGTACAATATGGAATTTGTGTTAAAAAAGGTTCAATTTTACCATTAGATAGTGAAATAGCCGAGAGAATTATTGACATTGTTATGTTTTGTTTTGAAAAAAGACCGGAATTTATTGGTAAGTATGAAGATAAAAGAAATCGTTTTCTTAGATTTATATTTTGTAAGATTTTAATCTGATAAAATATCAGGAGAAAATTTTGGAAGACTATGTGGAATTAAAATAGAATAGAAGATACGATTGTTGTTCTGTAAAACTTGTTTGGTAATTATGATTATTTTAATATTTTCCATATTGTGGCAAACTAAAATTATACGATTTCACATTTCTATGTTTATTTCGAAGAGTACGAAAAATCCTACAGTTCAAACCAATCATTGATGAACGAAACGCATACTTTCTTTTATGTTGAAATCTTCTTTTTAAATAAAACTTTCAAAAAACAAAATTATCGTTAGTACGTTCCAACAGATCTATTGACCCGCTAGACAATTATTTTCTGCTAATATGCAAATTTTTATTAGTAAAGTGATATGAAAACGAGTCAATTTTTCAATTATTTATAAAAACACTTCCTAATTTTTGAGATATTCTTTATCTAGAAAATAATGTAAAATGAATTGAATAATATAACAGAAGACTTCGCTATGGAAATTTTTTAGATATGGGGATAATGAAACATTTTCAGTAGAGTTCGATAGATATTCAAATATTACTTGAATAATCTCGAAGACGTTTATATCTATTAGGAAATGAACGATTGTTTCGAGCACGGAAGAAACTATTGAGATATTTGTTATTGTCACATCAACTTTGCTCAATAGTTTTATCATAAGCAGAAAATAACTTGTTAGTATTCTTTTTTTTATTTTTAGCTACTTTTCTTATACAACCATTTTTTGCTGATTTTCTATTGGAAATTCTAATTAGTACAAGTTCTCGTGAAGTTCGTCAGTGTGCATTACGTAATATAATACGTTTATGCAAAATTGAAACAAACGCATGTGATATAAGTGCTATTGTTCATCAGATATTGTTAAAAGCTCGACTACCATTATGGCCATCAAGTGCAACAAATCGAAGTTCGAGTCAAAAAATATTATTACAATCAATTGAATATTTTGATTTACGTTGTCAATTAACAGAAAACTTAACAAAACAAATGCAAACAATACTGAATATTGATGCAAAAGAAATTTTGACAAATGAATTCAATTGGTTATCATCATACACTGTATCGATAATATCAAGTGAATTACGTGCAATTGATAATATTCTATTTATGGGTCATTTAAGATTTATTCGTACATTATTGACATGTGAAAATATAAATAAAATTGAATTTGGTATTGATTTTATACGCTTAATAATTGATCAATTCTTGTTTCCAGCATCAAAACGTATGTCACAACCAATTGTACCATCAAATAACGAAAATGATTTGCTGGATGATTCTGCACCTGAACCTAAGTGTTCAACAAGTGAAAGCCGTTTAGCTGCTTACGATGTTCTTGTTGAATTAGTTCGAAATTGTCGAACAAATTTAAAACTTGTCGTTAACGATCTTATTCATCTTCATCATAGACCTATACTAGAAAAACAGACAGAATGGGAGGTAAGGCCTATTTTATTTTACTAATTAATGTTTTGGAGAAATTTATCTATGAATATTTTAGTTTATGCCACAAGTTAATCCTCGTGCATCTTGCGGATTTGTTGGTCTTCACAATGGTATGTAGAATCAGTAATTTCCAATATCTCCCTATCTATCCATATTATTATCACAATTAAAATTATAGTTCTCTCATAACAAAATCTAAATACATTCAATTGAATAAATCTCTGTGGCCATTCATTAACTACAGAAATTCAGTTGCTATCTTTCTTGTCAATAAAATATTTATTGAAAAACAAATTTACAGGCGTAGAAGGCTAAATCTTAATATCAACATGTTAAGAAGTAAAATATTCGATCACGTGAAATTCTGAGCAATTATTTGCGAAATTTGATTGAAGTACAATCACCTCCGAAGTATCGAGTATGAGAAAATAATTATACGACGCAAAAAAAAGGCAAAATTATTTAGACTGAAATCTGCATAATCTAAGAAATGTAATGTACAATTAGAAATATGTATAGCGTTGGATTAGCTACATGGAGATCTATGTATTTTCAAAGTATCAATTTGATAGATAAGTTATATTTGAAAAAGTCTTCCTCGTTAACAAAAATATTTCAACTAAAATTAACTTTTTTTAAGGTGGTGCAACATGTTATATGAATTCTATTCTTCAACAATTATATATGTTACCTCAAATATCAGAACATATTTTGAGTGTTCATGATGATCTTGAAAATACAAATGGAATAAATAAAACAAGTGATTCAAGTTTATTTTATCAACTTCAACAAGTATTTGGTCATTTAATGGAAAGTAAAATGCAGTATTATTCACCTGAATCCTTATGGAAAATATTTCGTTTATGGGGGCAAGAAATAAATATTCGTGAACAACAAGATGCATTTGATTTTTTTACTGCAATGACCGATCAAATTGATGAATATTTAAAAAGTATGAAGCAAGAAGAAATATTTCGTAAACAATTTGAAGGAATTTTTTGTAATCAAATGATATGTACGAATGGTTGTCGTCATCGTTATGAAGGTGAAGAAAAATTTATGGCATTAAATGTAGCCGTTAAAGTTGATTCACTTAATGAATCGTTAAATCAATTTGTTAAAGGTGAAGTTCTAGATGGAAATAATGCTGTAAGCTCTTTTTGTCTTTAAAAAAAAAATCTATTTTGATCTTTTATAAAAAATAGTATTTTTGTGCAAAATGTCAAGAAAAACGAACAACCATTAAAAGATTATGTATTAAAAAACTACCACCAATATTATGTATACAAATGAAACGTTTTGGATTCGATTGGGAAAACAATCGTGCGCTAAAATTTGATGATTATTTTAAATTTCCTTTAATACTCAACATGGAACCTTATACATTAGATGGTGTTAATAAACGTGAAAGTTTTGTAGAACATGATGATTTAACTAGCAATTCAAATAATATTTCTTTAATTAACACAACAACGACAGGTAAATGACATTTTTCAGATGTGAATAAAAACGAACTCCTGAAATAATAAATCAGTTTTAAGATGAACTTTACTCTTCATGATGTTCATTTGAAATTTAAAACCAAAGTAAAATTCTCATCGATGTTATTTCAGTATGAAAAGTATCTTGTTGCACTTATAAATATCGTATCTTTACAGATGTAAAATTATAATCTACATGAAACATACATGTTCAACTCAAAAGTGATCTACTATTGAACGATATCTCTTTAATTTGATTTTGAATATATTCCCTATATAAGACTATTTGTCCTCAAAGAAAAAAATATTCCTAAAATATCCACTATAATAAAATGATAAATAATTTGAATATTGTTTTAAGGTGATAATAAATGTTTATCTCGTTCATTATCTTCTTTAAACAATCCTTCAGTTAATATGCCAACAATAAATTACGAATTAATTGGCATTGTAATACATTCTGGTCAAGCCAATGCTGGTCATTATTATTCATTTATAAAAGATATTCGTCGTCGCCATTCAAACAATACAAATCAATGGTACCGTTTCAATGATACATCTGTTGAAGAAATTCAATTAACTGAACAAATGCTCGAAGAAGAATGTTTTGGTGGAACGTTTCGTGTACAAAAAGATAATAATAATTCGAATGAAGAACGTACACGCTTTTGGAATGCATATATGCTTATCTATCAATGTATTGAGCCATCCAAACTACTTCCACCACCATCAGCAATTCCATCATCACCAAATATCAATCGTTCATCACGTTATGTACCTGGCACAGCTGTTCGTATCAATTGCGTAAATCAACGTGATTCATTATCACAATTAGCTGATTTAGTTGTTCGTAGTGAAAACAGTGACTTATTTAAAATTGAAAACCCATTAATACCATCACGCGTATTAGCTTGTGTTAAAGATGAAAATCTTGAATTTTTAAAAAATCGTGATACTTATTGTGATGACTATTTTCAATTTATTTACAAATTATCTAAAATATGTTTTGATGATATAAATATTCCGTCTGATATGGAAATAATTGAAAAGGAAAATGAAGAAACGTCATATGAATTATGTACAAAATTAGCATTAAACTTTCTATTTAATACACATTCACGAACACATCGTCGTTTGCGTAAAGATAATTTACAGCAATGGGTACAATTATTATCACGTTTATTTACGAAAAATTCAACATCGTGTTTATTATTTTATGATTTATTATTCGAAAAACATGATCATGGATTAAAATTATATTTACTTGATTGTCCTATTGATGATATACGTTATATTTTTGAACAAATATGTGAACAAGTTTTACAAGCAACATATTTTCATGTATTGGAAAAAAATCAACAAATTCATGAAACAAATCTAAGCGATAATCATGAAACATTGATTATTAATATTGATAATAATTTGTTAATATTAATGAGGAAATTTATTGAACAATTAATTAATCTTTTAGATAAAGCTGTTGTGGAACAAGTTAAACATTCTCAAGGATATTTTCAATTGATTTATTCATATATGAAAATGAATAAAAATTCTATTGATGATTTATTCAAATTAAATACTTTTACACGTTTAATGAATTTCTTATTAGGTGAAAATATTGATGCACGACGATGGAATTCTGGACAAGCTAAAGAATTCGGTATCATACATGAAATCATTGCAACATTAGTATTAGCAGGCAATTTAACAAAAGAAACATCGAATGAACAAGATTTGCAATTAAAAAATCAAATGGAAATTTATTTTTATGGAAAATGTGCGAATAGATATTTGAAAGAAATTTGCTATGCTTTTCAAGAAATTTCACCCTCACAATTAATATGTACCGTACAATTAATGGAAATATTATCACTTACGAATCTATTATTTTCCGAACAACTGATTAGAATTATTTTACAAACAATTGCACAAGCACATACGAACGATTTAAAATCATTATTTAAATTTCTTAGTTTTATCTTAGTAAGTTTATTCATACAGCATCAACTTTTACTATTTCCTATTTTCTATTCGCTTTTACCTTTCAATATTATTTCTGTTTATAGTCAATTGTATAGTGCTTTAATTAAATACAAGTACAGGTTTATGAAATCAAGTTTTGTCTTGTGATTTCAGTCTAGATGAAATTATATGAGAGTTTTGGTCATATTTTATCTAAAACAAATTGTGAATTATAAACAATAATGAATAAAAACTAAAGATTATTTAATTATGATCTTTAGTTTCGATTAGGACCATTCTTTCATAATGGTTACTGACGTTACATCCTATACTAAATATAAATTATAATTCTCTGAAACAATGAAAATTCCAATATTCTTGTCATCGCATCGAATGATATTATTTCGCCGAGGTATCGATTTATTCCTATATTAGAGTTGAATTTATAGTCTAAATAATTTGAAGGTTAGTGCTTCTTAAATATTCTATTCGAGAGTATAAAAACGCTGGAAAGAATACTGAATTATGTGCCACACGATCATTTCTTCTAATCTAATGAGTTTTCTTTCTCTGTCGTAACATTCACAGCTCAACTCGATAAAAATCATAAAGTTTTACCCAGATTGAACACAGTACTGTACAATGATATATTGCGCTTTCTTTTTTCCATCAACAATCGATCATATTGGAAAGAAAAATGAATCGACATTGTTGAATGTATTTTCGATTAGATGATTTGATTTTATTCGTTATTCTAGCTCGTCGAAGATTCGTTACAAACTAAACGACTTCAAATCACATTTGAAGGTATCAATGAATCTATCAGTGGTGATAATAGTCAAAACTTAATCGGACTTTATTCACTTATTCGAACCAGTATGGAAACTGAACAACGACGAGCTTATCAAACAGTTAAATTTCTTATTAATCTATCAAATAGGTAAAAATAGAGCAAAAATTATTCGAATTAAAATTTGATAAATATTGATTTTTTTAAATTTTCAATAGAAATAGTTCATGTAAAGAATATTTTGCATCAACTGCTACTCAATGGGAATTTGCTATAAGTTGGCTCAAACAACAAATGCAAACATCTTGGCAATGGTCACCAGCACAAAATGTATCCAATGAAGATACGGATACACGCTCATTTCAACGTACACGTAGTGCACAATATACATTAGAACAAGCTCAATCTCTTCTACAACAAACAACAACAACAACAACAACAACAACAACAACAACAACAACAACAACAACAACATCATCATCATCAAATAATGATACATCAACAACGGAACTAATGGAATTAAATGATAATCATAGTCAATCATCATCACAATCAACACATGTTGGTATTGATTAATCCATCCATATACTTTTGTAAAACTCCGGTGTGTGTGTGCGTGAAATTTATTTTTAAGTGAATGTCTTTATGTATGGTTGTTGATAAAAAAAACAAGGAAGTTGTTTTGTTTGTTCTTTTTTGAACGATTAGGTACTGCCGTTGCTTTTGATTCCCCGTGTTTTTTCTTTTTGGCCCTCTTATACTCTTTTTCTTTTTTTCATTACTTTTGACGTAGACGAGAAATGCAAAAAGACAACAAACAAACTAAGAATTCCGCATTTTTTACTTTGCGTAGTTTCTCATAAAAATGTGTGTCTGTTAGTGTGGTGTGTGTTTTGTTTAAAAAAACGAAATAAACAGGAAAAGTTCACTTTGTATAATTCAGAACCAAATGTTTAATATTTAGATTAATTTTTCTCTGGACAATTGACGATGGGTCGAAAACAACGAGTAAGTTAATAGTGAGAGCTTCAAATTAAATAATATAAAATTCTATTGTAAAGGGTCGTGCTGCTCGAAACGCACGTCGAAAATTGCCACCAAATTTTGAAAGTGACGAAGTTAAACGAGCACCTCATGTACTTGTTTTTAAACGAGGTCCAACCAGTATGTATCATTAATCTGGATGTTCTATTCAAAAATTTTAATATTTCTTGAAATCATAGTTGGCAACAATGTCAAGGAGTTGATAAAAGATATGCGTCGGGTGATGGAACCATTTACTGCACCGAATCTTAAAGTAAGTTTTTAGGATATTTAATTGATTGAATATCAAAATAAAAATGCGGACCGGTTGGAACATAATTTAATAAATAGAAATTTAACTATCATATGCCTCTAAAAGATTCGATGAGTATGTAAAAAACCGAATACTTTTGTTATACAAGATGATCTCAGCTGAGCAACAAAAACTTCATTCTTTATCGATGTCATCTAAAGTTTTTTCTCTAAATCACTGTTCTGGTTAATATGCGATTAACAAAATATATTCTAATTTAACTAATTTGTCGATTTCTTTTTCTCGTGTTTGTTTTAGGTTAGTCGTAAAAATTCATTAAAAGATTTTATTGCTATATCAAGTCATTTTCATGTAACACATTTAATGACATTTTCCAAGACCCAACTATCAACTTATATGCGTTTAATACGTATTCCACGGGGTCCTACATTAAATTTTCGTATTCGTCGTTTCACACATAGTCGTGACATTGTTTCAGCATTAAGACGTCCTCAAACATTTCCTAAACAATTTGAACATGCACCTTTACTTGTTATGAATGGTTTTCAAGATGAATCAATACATATTAAACTTATAGCAACTATGTTTCAAAATATGTTTCCATCAATTAATGTTGCAACCGTAAGTTTTTAGGATTTTATTTCTAATTTGTATAACAAATTTTTCATGTTTAGGTCGATTTAAGTACTATAAAACGATGTGTTTTACTTTCACTTGATCCTGTTAATGGATTTATCGAATTTCGACATTAGTAAGCTACGAATAAATAATAGTCATTACATTTTATTAATTTTTCAGTAATATCAAAATCGTACCCAGTGGTATTAGTCGAGCAGCAAAAAAATTGTTACAAGGCAAAGTACCTGATCTATCACGATTTAATGATATTAGTGATTTTATGTACAGGTAAATTCAAGCAAAACGTTTAGCAAGGCAGTATTTTTGGACCTTGTCTTAATACTATCAGTTAGAAAAAAAGATCAAAGAAAAAAATTCACTAATTTGTTGAATTTTTTATTTAGAATCTCTTTGACGAGTTTATCGGTTAGAGAGAACATTACTTTCTAAAAGTTATTATCAGTTGTTAACTGGATTTATTCTACGCGAGACTCTCAGCTGTTATCGTCAAGGAGAAAAAAATTTCATTTCTAACTTCTTTTTTTTACTGAATAAGAGTTGTTTTACTAAAAAAATATGATATAATAAAATTAACACTTGGAATAATATTCTATTTTAAGGGAAGGTAATGCATCAGAAAGTGAAGACGAAAGTACTGGTAATCAGGATGAAAACGAAGTCATTCTTTCACAACAATTACGTAGTCGTGGTAATTTAAAATCAAATCAAAGTGCTATACGTTTAACAGAAATTGGACCACGAATGACACTTGAATTGGTTAAAATTGAAGAAGGTTTATGTGATGGTGAAGTTCTTTATCACACATATATTTCTAAGACACCTGAAGAAATAACCGAATTACGCAAACGTAATACAGACAAAAAGCGTTTGAAAGATCAAAGAATACGTGAACAAGAAGAAAACGTTAAACGGAAACAAGAAAATAAAAAACAAAACGATGAAGAGATGGATGAAGAAGAATCATCAGATGATGCTGATGAATAGATCATTTGTTATTTGCCTTTTTTTGTTTTTGTTATTCTTGTTATTTGTATGAATGAATCTAATAAACTATGATTCAATGGCAAACAGTTTGATCAAATCTCTATTTAAATATTAAGACTATCGAAAAATGGATGAATGTTGCTGCGTGTTTTGTCATAGAAAGGCTGTTTTATTTTATCTATTTTGGAAGACATTATTTGATTATCGCTTTACTAATATTCCCAAAGGTTGCTTGGATCATGCAAACCATTCGTATGTATTCAACAACTATTGTGATTCTTCTTTTCATCAGAGTTGAAACATATGATAAATCTATTTCAAAAAAATATTTTCTATAGCTTTCTCAATGTTGTTTTATTCAGTTCTTTATGGCTGATGCATTCAAAGGAATAAAAGTACTCGTGGAAAAAGAAACATTAACAATAAATCCAATCAAGATGTTCTTTTGGTCTACATTTCATTGGACATTCAATTTTAGCTCCTTGATAAACAGTATTTGTTTGATTATCACAACATGGTCTTATACATCCAAGAAAACATCCATCCATTGGTCTTTTAGAAGGATATGGTTGACCACCTAATTCTGTACAAAAGTAGCTATCAAATATTAATGAATTATTTCTAACGTGTTTTCCAACATAATCATTAAGAAATCGCTGATCACCTTTACCGATATAACGTCTAGCTATTCGTGGTATGAGCATAGGCTGAAAGATTTGAATTAAATGCTGACGAGCACGTACCAATGATGCGCCCCAGAGACCACCTAATATAAATAGACCATGTTGTACATTGTCACGTGCAATATAGAAAAAATTCTTTTCTTGTTCATTTGATAGCCATATATCGATTGTTTCTGTTTCACGTTGAGTCATTGGCGAATCAAGATCACGTGATAGTAAATAATCCACAAATGGATCAAATATTGGCATAAAACACCACATTTTTCCTGGTAAAAATGACCTTAAAGATGAACCAAACACAGGAATGTTACTAATATCACAGATATCAACATTTGAAAAATTATAGAAAATGTTTCTTTGAGATTCTGTACTACCAGCGAAATCAATATAAATACGTAGAACCCATTGGGGAAGTAACTCAGTGATTTCGCTAACAAGAGGTTTGAAAAATGATACAATACTTGTTTCCCATGAATACATTTCATTGTTGGTAGATTTTGATTGTTTTCCATAAATTGAGATAGCAATTACTTTTTGATGTGGTCCACGCCGATCGGATGCAGAACTACAATATGTTCGATTCCATTTAATCAAATTTTCATAGATACCATTGATTTGTGTTTGAACATGCTGTCTATTTGGTTGATCAATTTTAATAACTACTGTTTTCTTGTGTTGTTTTTCTATGTGGATCAAGACAAACGTAGCAGGCAAGAAAGTAATAAGAAATGCGACTACAAAAATAACTATTATAAAGCAAAATTTATTTAGACAAAATCGTCCAACACAACAGCTCACCATTCTTCACATAAGCTATTCATTGCTCATTCTCATTTAGTAATAACATGTTAAAAACTAGTCAACTGTGACTGATATTGACCACGTTTGCACGTAAAATAATTGTATCTGTACGTTGCGTGATGACATGTAGACATCATAACGCAAAAATGTTTAACAGCCGATAAGAAATGGACGTTATCTTTAAATTCTATCAGATGTTTTTTTTCCGAACATATGAAGCATATTTTTTTTCAATAAATATGAAAGATATGATGAAACATAAACTGTTAAACATCGTTTGTTTTTTATTCGAAAATTACAATGAGAAGTGAAAGATACTGTGTTGGTTGAATGTTGGAGTACACTAATTCAAAGAATATGATACTAAAGATAATGTCCTTCTCTAATAAGAGTGTATTTTGTATTAGACAATTAAATAATAATTTCGCAGAAAGTGTCCAAAACTCAACACACTTGAAATGAAGAATCGATATTAAGCAATCAGTAGTGAGATTTATCAGACTTCTAGAGGTACTTAATATTAGTTTTGTTCAGCTTTGAATATTTTTTCCAAATCGATTCTTAGGTTCTTCTTCTAATGTCAGATATACGTTTCAAAGTCAATTAGAAAACACTATGAAGTGTGAATTCTCGACCAAATATTTCATATGATATTCTAGGAAGGATTGCATCCTTCACTCCTTGACTAGGTTGGTTGATACACATTACCCATCACATACTATGTGTCAACGAGAACATGCTGATTACGTTATAGCATATGCCCAATTTCACAGTACAATATGGTCAGCTAATGAGAAAATAAGAATTTACTTTTAGTAATATTGTCAACTTTTTTCTGTAAGTCTTTGCATCGTTTTAATCTATTAAATATGTTAGTTCTTCTCATAATTAATGTTAAAATAGTTGTAATTGCAATACACTAGATTAATGTATTGAGACGATGAAATAAATTTAATAAACAAAACGAGATGTTTGCTTTGTTTAATTTCTTGTTAGTGATTAATTTAAAGAAGTTGAATACTTAGTGTCGATGGACATCAGTAAGATCGTCTCGAATTATTTCTATTTTCTATGTTATATTGCTGCGTTGAAGGTCTACCTTTTATGATTGAAATAATTCGGATAAAAAGAACCAGCTATGTGATGATATTCAGATGTTATCATCTCAGAGAGCTTTTGTTTCTTCTGTTTATTCGATCATCACATTTAATTACTTGTTCAAAGCAACAGTTACGTTGGCAAGTGTTCGTTGCAGCTTCCATGGTATGTATAGACGATGCACTTGACATATAATTATTATTCATTGATTTATATTGATTCTATGAACAGGTAAGTTGCACATTCATGAACTCATTGATACTCACGTTTTCTTTCTCTTTCTGTCTCTTTTCGTTTGTATATTGTTTGTTGCTACCGGTTGTTGTCAAAAACAAAGGAAGAAAAGCAGTAATAAAGATCAGCAATATTGATCTAACTCACTTCTTCTGTTTGACGTCTACTAGTTGTGATCTGGGAATAAGTAAATCAGTCAAATTTTTATTGAATCTATTTTCTCTCTTCAACTATTACATATTCAATTCAGTATAGTTTATACAAAAACAAATGCATTGGATTTGGCTGATCACTGCTTTTATTATCATTAATATCTGTCAAACACGACCTGATTTATCAAAAAGTTCAGAAATAGAATATATTGATAAAGATGGCATATTTCCAATGGAATCAGATACTATGAATCTCGAAACATCTGCATCAAAAAATAATGTTGATGGTTCCACTTATGAAACTACTAGTGATGCAGTATCACGTGAAAGTCTTGTGAAATTTAAGAAAGATGAACGAGATGTATTATCATATGGTATGGCCACTAGTAGCACCAACAATCATGGGCATTTTAATTTCCTGTTAATTATTACTGCTCTTATGTTAATAATTCAATTTTAAACATAAATGTATTTGTTCCTTATCGTTGTTGTTCATTTAATAGATTTTGTAATAGTTTGTTTAGAAATCAAAATTTTACTTATATAATTATGAAGATCAATAAAATATATACTGAAAAAAGTCTAATAGATATTTGACCCTCGTTCTATAGGTTTAGCAGCATTATTTAAACGAGTGTATAAGGCTACAATGCTTTGTTTCTCGTATGCTCTTCTTTTCTATGCAAATATAAATAACAATTCAATAGTTAATTTGAATGAACAAAGTCTTTCTTATTCAAAATCAGTATTTGTCGTTATAATTTTGGAGGCCGATGAGTTATTGTTCGATTATGGTTCATATGTGACACATTTATTTTTTTATTTTTTGGGGATTGTTGTTAAAAACATATATTCTTGGATTGTTACTACAGCAGGTATTTGTTTTTTCAATATAGATTGTCTACTTTAACTTATCGAACTAATAAAATCTTTTTCTTGCCTTTATCAACGATAGTACGTAGAAGGTAATGTTTATACATGCAATAATTTGTTAGAAGCTAGAAATAATACAGTGAAGCTTCTGTGGATGTACCAAATACAAAGTGACATCAGAAAAACAATTTTGTTTTACTGTATGTTACAGAATATAAAAACAAAATAAAGGTATTTTAATATCTTTCTAAGCAATGAATATGAATGTAAATAGTCTAGGAGCTCTTACAAAGTCTCCATATATTATCTATAGAACAAACAAAAAAGAAAATTATTAAAATCAAGTGCATTCTTTTTCAGAATCAGTAACACAATTCAGTTTTATAAATTTCTACAGGTAGATTTCGCCGAAGTTATTTTTCGTTAAAATCTGCTGATTCTTCATTCTGCTCTATAGAAATGCACTTGAGAATTTAATCAGTACACAAAGACGACATGAACTCTTTGCCAATTGTTTCAGTCTAGTAGTCTCCCGTTCTTCAGTAAAATATGTGAAGCAAAAGTTTTTAATCATTAGAGATTCTTCTTCATAAATAATTTGATCAATAAGATTGAAAAACCCATAGTCTTGCATTTCACTCCGACTTGACAAATAGGAATATTAATTGTGTGAAACTCATTAATAATAATCAAAATTTTGCATATTTCGTGATTACGGGAAAAAAATTAGCTTGTGTGATCAAAGCACAATCGACGGACTCAAGAAAAAAAACATATTTTCTAATGGAAAAACTGCAAAAATATCGTTTAGTTGTATGAGCACAGATCCGTTATGTATCGAAATAAGACGTGACTTCTGTCTGATTTACCATATTCATCAATGATTGGGACTAAGGTTAATCTATTATGTTCGTCAAAGTGAAAATTTATCATAACCTTGAGCTTGACAGTTTATACAACGAACATATATACGAACAACAGACTGATGGCATGACAATAGACAATTATAACGTTATGATAGTTAATAAAATGAATGCGTTGATACAATATTTACTGTTTTAGTAGAATAGAATAAAATAAAACTCAATTTTTCAAATCTAACAATGTATTATAATAATTTTAATCCATATATATGTATGTCCATGATAGATGTCATTCTAGAGCAGTATTGCTCGTTTGTTGATGCATAGTGGTCTCGTCAATACATAATTATGGTAGTAAAATCAACCAACCAGAGATATGTGAACGCATCAACAACATCTCCCATTTCTGTAACAATCTAGTTGATTGTCTTTACTGTATATTAATAGCACAGATCATAGTGGCTTTTTACTTTTATTTATCTTGTAGAATTTTATTCAGATTTGCTAATAACAATGATTGATGGCATTCAGCCATTGTTATTAACAGCAACTAATTGATGATATAGTTATTAGAATAGTATCGAATTAATGTCGAAAACATATAATTTCGATTGGCAAATTGAAGTATCAACTCGTCTACTTCAAGGCGATTCTTTTGATCGCTGGGATGAAGAAAATGGAACATTAGAACAAAATTGTTTATTTCGTGTTGATAGTTATGGATTTTTTATTTATTGGCAAAGTGATGGACGTGATGGACAAGTGATTGAACTTTCACAAGTTAGCGATATAAGACCAGGCAAAGGTATTTTTACTCTATGAAGATTTTTTGTTTTCGTTATTCCAAATAATTTGCTTTCAAGCTCCAACTGATCAAAAAATTGGTGCTGATCTCATGTCTAATTCACTTGTCTATGGTCGAGGTAATATTGATGAACGAACAGTTACTATTTGTAGTGGAATCGATTTTGTACAAATAAGTCACACTAATATAACAGGTGCTGATCCAGCTACAGCAAAAGTATGTTTAATCTCAATATAAATCAATATATTTATCGTTCTATTTCCAGGCATGGATTGAAGGATTAAGAAAAATTACACATAATCATAAGGCTAATAATATATGTCCAACAACCATATTACGAAAACAGTAATTAATTCATTCATATTGATCACATTTTAGTGATATTTTTTTTGTTTTAGTTGGATGAAATTATCTTTTATGTTAAATGTTAATAAAAAAATTCCTGTTCGAAGGTAAAAGAAAAATCTTTTTTTTCTTTGTATTCTGTGTTGATCTGTGATGCATTTTAGTATTAGTAAAACATTTGCATCTGGTAGAACTGAAAAACGTATATTTGAAATTCTTAAAGAACTTGGTTTACCGAGTGGAAAGGTAAAATTGAATAATGATTCTTCTTTTTTATGTTTATACTTTGTGTTGACCCGTGATTATAGAATGATGAAGTCGATCCAGCTGATTTTACATTCGAAAAATTTTGTGATCTATATCATAAAATTTGCCCACGTACTGATATAGCTGAATTATTCGATCAACTGTCCGGTGGAAAAGATTATATAACTACAAAGCAATTCGTCGATTGGCTTAATGAAGCTCAACGTGATCCACGGTTAAATGAAATTTTATTTCCATTTTATGATACAAAAAGTGCATTGCGTATTATTGATCGACATGAATTACGTGCTAATTATCGGGATCGTGGCCATTTATCATGTGATGGTTTAACGAGATATTTAATGTCGGATGAAAATGCACCAGTTTTTCTTGATCGTCTAGAAGTTTATCATGATATGGATCAACCATTGTGTCATTATTTAATTAATTCATCGCATAATACATATTTACAGGGAAGACAATTCGGTGGTCGTTCATCAGTCGAAATGTATAGACAAGTTTTATTAGCTGGTTGTCGTTGTATTGAATTAGATTGTTGGGATGGAAAAAATGATACTGAACCAATAATAACACATGGGAAAGCAATGTGTTCGGATATTAATTTTAAAGAAGTTATTTATGCAATCAGAGATACAGCGTTTGTTACAAGTGATTATCCAATTATACTCTCATTCGAAAATCATTGTTCGAAACCACAACAATTTAAATTAGCAAAATATTGTGAAGAAATCCTGGGCGATTTATTATTAACAAAACCATTAGATAGCCATTCAGTAAGTCTAGATCGAATAATTTCAGATTAGGTAGTAATGAATGATATGAATTAAAATGTTTGTCTCTTTTTTTTAGCTTGAACCTGGTGTGCCTTTGCCATCACCAAATTTATTAAAACGTAAAATACTTATTAAAAATAAAAGATTAAAACCAGAAGTCGAAAAAAGTATAAATATATACTATGATAATAGTTTTTTCTCATATTCTTTTTGTCTTTTATTTTGTTATTAGGGCAACTTGATTTATTTCTCAAAGGCATAGATACTGAAGGAAACAATGATAATGATGTCGATTCAGCAGCTAATGTCGAAGGAGAAGATGGTTCAGCTGCATTTTCTGACAATGCCAAATTACGTGATGATGATGATGAAGCTCATCCCGAATTAAATGTTGACGTGAATGATGATGCAAGTCGACGCACATTATTTGGTCAGTTGGGTTTAAAACTAAAAGTATCATCGAATCTATCTCGAGAAGAAGAAGAAGCACTCTACAATGGTTATCAGTATAAAGGTGCAACAACAAATATTCATCCATTGTTATCATCTCGTGTTAATTATACACAGCCAATAAAATTTCCCGGTTTTTCCAAAGCAGAAGAACGTAATATACATTATCATATGTCATCATTTTCTGAAAATGTTGCTTTACAACATTTAAAACAAAATCCAATTGAATTTGTTAACTACAACAAACGACAATTGTCACGAATATATCCCAAAGGTGGACGTGTTGATTCATCTAATTATATGCCACAAATATTTTGGAATGCTGGTTGTCAGATGGTGTCATTAAATTTTCAAACGCCTGATCTCCCGATGCAATTAAATCTAGGAAAATTTGAATACAATGGAAACTGTGGGTTAGTTATTTGTTGCTTTTGTTTTAAAATACTTTAAGTATGCGACAGAAAAATAACAATATTTCATAATCGGAAATGAAGGTTTTCTCTACATCTAACGGTTTTATTCATCGTTTTTTCTTCTTTCTGTTTATTGTTTGTAGTTTTGAATATTAATGGGAAAACGCAACCAATTTACTTGTCTCGTTTCTTTATCCAGAAAGAAGAAAAGAACACAGTCAGCTAGCGGTATTACTAAGATTTTCCATATATTACATTTCTTATCTAACCTAGTGTAAAAACAAGTACTATTACTCTTGTGGGAGAGCAGAAGAATTAATAACGACAAGAAACAAAGAACTAGCAAATGAAAAAGAGTAATTTCGAGAAGCGTTTTCTATTGACTATTCAAAAGTGCGAGATACTTAATGATTTAGTATTATATATGATGTACAATGTTTTCAAAAATATCTAAATATAACATTTGGCTAATTAAGAATTTTTGTCACTTTTTAATAAAAATTAAATAAATTATTAATTGAGTTTTAGTAATAGAAAGTGTTCCATTGTTTCGTTGACAATAATTGAGTGCGATAGTAACAAAAGGCTCAACTATTTTCCTTTATTTCATTTGGTTAATACTCATCTATAAGATTAAACTAAATATGAACATATGTTATGCTAACTCGATCAAGCACACCTGATCATTCTGATAATCTATGTATTATATGGAATATAATAGATGAATATGACTTTTCAGAGTTCTGGAATAGATACAATTATATTGTATTTCTCGTTATTGATCGAAATAAATATAATTATTATACAAAAGTTTTGACGTCGTCTCTTTTGCTTTTAGAAAGAAACATGCAATTTATTACAATAATTTCACAAGAGAAAAATATTTATTATATTAGTACTATCAAAAGAATTCTCTATCTTGATTAGAGTTTTCCCGTTTTTGTATTTCTTCTTATTCTTCTTCCTGATTCACATCCGTGTTAGAATAGCAATCATGACAAATAAAAGTTAGTGCAAGTATATAAATATATACATGAACAAAAATCTTATGTTAGCAGATGTTTGCAACATGATTCATTTCAACGGAAACAATATCATTATATCTTATGAGTATAGTTGCTTTTCCGTCTTGTCTTTTATCGACGATCGAGTATGGCGAATAATAACTATTATAGGGCAACTGCATTGCCCTCATTACCAAAGGAAATGCAATACATTATAGTAAAGAAGAATGCTTGAAAAATTAATGAGAGAGAAATGATTGATCAACTGTATTATTCTGTTGGCATAGACATCGAATTACCAATAATTGTCACTCAGATCATTTTCTTGTTAACATAAAGAATATTTTATGCAAGAAATACACAATCTGGGTAGAATTTAGTTGAAAAGATGGGGATACACACTAATTGTTTCAGCTGTGTATAAAATTAAGTGTAAATAAACGTTGGCAACTTATGTGGTCTCCGTTGACCGAATTAATCACTTAGAATTCATGCTCTGACACTTTTGAAGAATAATGTATTCGAAAATTTTACGACTCATAGAACATATGAAAAAATCGACATAGATTTGAACTTGTCCGATACTTCGGAACAAGAGATGTTAGAACCAAAAGGGTTCTATTGGAGTTCTTGATGAGAAAATAGCAACAAATCAAATCTTTTAACAAACAAAGAACTAGCAACATAATTATAGACGTTATCGAATATTTCAAAGTGTACCTACAGTAGAGAGAAAGAGAGAAATGATAAACCAACAAGATGATCCGTTTTCATTTTAGTTATTTATTAAAACCAGATTTTATGCGTCGACCTGATCGAACATTTGATCCATACGCTGAAAGTCCTGTCGATGGTGTGATAGCTGCATTTTGTAGTGTGCGTGTAATATCCGGTCAATTTTTATCTGATAAAAAAATTGGTACCTATGTTGAAGTCGACATGTTTGGTCTACCAGCTGATACAATTAGAAAAGAATATCGTACGAAAACGATTCCAGCTAATGGTCTTAATCCAAGATATGATGAAACTGTTTTTGAATTTCGAAAAGTAAAAATACTAAAAGATAAAAACGTTCTTGCGTTTATCAATTTTCTTAAATAATTTTTCTTTAGATTGTTCTTCCTGATTTAGCTATATTGCGCATTGCAGTTTATGAAGAAACAGGTAAACTAATTGGACAACGTGTTTTGCCATTAGATGGTTTACAAGCCGGTTATCGGCATATATCATTACGTACAGAAGGCAATTTTCCATTATCATTACCAACTGTATTTTGTGAAATAATTCTTAAATCTTATGTACCGGATGGCTTGACAGACTTTGTTGACCAATTAAATCAGCCATTATTAATTAAAAAAACAGAAGAATTATTAAATTCAATAACGAATACATCTTCTGATGGTACTCTTACCACAAGTACTTCATCACTACGACGCAATCGTATACTTATTGATACAGCATCAGCACCCAATCCTTCGTTAGATGCAAAACTGACAACGACAGCGGCTAGCAATACGTCAGTTAATACAGTATCTACTAGCGATGGAATTAATTCAGCAGCATCTATTAAATATAAAGTACCTATTGAAATAATCGTTCCAATAACATTAGAATATTTATATGAACAAAGAAGTTATTCGAAGTTAAAACATAAACAAGATAAAGAATTAACATTAGTCAAGAAAAAACACGCTAAAGAACAAGCCGTACTGGGTGAACAACAATCGAAAATAATGAGTAAAGCAAAAAGTGATACAGAGAAAGCAACGCGATCACCAATGATACAAGTTGGAAGTCAACGAAGAAACCTAAGGTATATATTTAAAAATGAAATAATTCGAAATCATACGGATCTTTAATTCATTACTATTTTACAACTTTTATGTTTGAGGTATTTTTCATTACACTATACTAATCTAAAAGTTTAACGCTTCAGAATGATTATTTTTTTCAAAAACTAGTCGGAAGTACGTTGTATTATTTTGACATAGAAAAATCATATTTTCTACAATCATCTTCGAAATGTCGATATAATCTGAGAAGATGAAAACGATAAGGGATCTTTTAACCGAATAAGTACTATGAAATGTGCAGTTAGAATAATATATTATACATGATTTCGTGTAGCTTTCTATGTTAGCTTGCAGCATTGATCGATTAACGCTGAGCAAAAGAATAAATTGATCTACAGTTTGAAATTATCCATCAGTAAGACATACTAAGAAGTTTTTATCTAGTGGTCGATTTGACTTTGATTAATCTCAACTATTTTCTCATTTTAATTAAAGAGAATCACCTACAATTATGTATAGATTGCATTAATGATTCTTTTCTTTTTTTTTTCAATAATTCTAGTAATGGTGGTAATTCAACAGAAGGAAAAACTGATACTAAAGTTAGTTGATTATTTCAGATTTTCTTTTTTTAATTAAAAATGAAATATTTTGTTTTTCTCAGATAATGGATTTAATAAGTGAACAAAATGTTGAATGGACGTCACTTGTACAACGACAAATAACAGAAATGAACACATTACGACGGCAACATACTAAAGAGCAATGTGAAGCGTTACGTCTTTTACTAGAGGAGACACAAAAAATACAAACGAAAGAATTAGTTGAACGACAAACAAAGTAAAAGAAAATAAATGATTTCTTTTCATTTTAGAAAATCCATTGATTTCTTTTTCCTTTTATTACCTTTTAGAGAAAAAAAAGAACTTGAATTGAGTCAAGTACGTCAAAATATTGAAGATAGTAAACGACTTGGTTCAGAAAAAAATATAAGAAATAAATCCGACTTAGATCGTCGTGTACGTGAATTAAAATCGAATAATACAAAAAAATTCGTCGAAGAACGTAAAAGACAAACTCTGAAACATGAACGAGACAGAGACAATTTAATTAAAGCACATGAATCACAAAAAACAATACTTCTAGCTGATATTGATAAAGTATGTTTTTTCATGTTATAATCTTCGAAACTACAGTATACTATAATTAAATTTTCAATTGAACTAATCATTGTGCTTTTTAAATAACATCCAACGCGTTGCTTCCTGCCGAGAGTTTTTCTCTATTCCAGAAGAGAACCTATTCAATATTCATCGAATCGTATCTTTCTAAATTATTTCCTCATAAAAAATGAGCAGTCATGAGAAGAGAAACATCACGTATATTAAAGTTGAATTGCTGTTTGAAAAACTAATTCTTTAAAGTTATTGATTAATTTTAATACATTCTCAAGTTCTATGTTTTCTCTTTGTCTCGTTCAAAAGTTTTACTAAGGAACTTGTTTTTAATGATAAATGTATTGTTTGAAAATAATATTTGATACAAACAAAAAAATTACCAATGCTTTATAAAAAAAATACTAATGATTCGTTTTGTACTAAAGATGAATTTAATGAAATAATCATTTTTACCATTCTTCAAAATATGATTATAACAATTTACTCCCACTTCTCTCGTAAAAAAATGATTATTTCAATAATAATAGGTAGTTAACTATTTTACTTTTAGATGCTTGAATATAGTGTCAATGATCAAGATGAAACACCAACGGCACGGTTTCCTTCGTCATCTGTCTAACAAAAGAACTAGTAAAAAAATACTAATAACCATTCAATTTTCTAATGACTATTGTACTACCCTTCCACTGATATCTAATTTTGTTTGTACAGTAGGGCTCCTGATTTTATTCTACGGTGATTGTTCTTTTCGGTGTTGTCTTCTTTTTGAATTTCTTGGAACGCTGTGCTTGTATGTATGTGCATATATATTTCTATCGTTTGAATGGCAGAATACTACTGGCAATTGTGAGCAGAAAAAAATCAAAATAGTCATTTCCACAGTCAAAACAGTCTTGGTCTCAATTTTCTTTTCAATGTGCCTCTATTTTTTGTTGTTGTTTCAATTCTAGTCTATCATCAGAAAGTCTCATTATTGCAATACATATAGGTTCAAATAAAGCAAACCTGTCAAAACGCGCATGTTTTACATTCTTTTAAATCGGAATATTGAGTTTTTAATAATAGAAATTCGTAGAACTATCTTTCTTTTTCAAAGTTATGTTCTCTGTTTCTCATTTCTTATATATAGAGAATGAAATTGTTCATATTTAAACAATACGTATTGTATGTTTACGTCGATGAAGTTCTTTTTCCTTTTCTCGCATATTTATCTTTTCAATAAAATTTTTATGATCAGCGAGTTCATAGAAAAGTCTCTACAATGAGAGCACACACTTTTAGATGACATGTTCAATAAAATTAATTATCTTACATTGCAAGCTAACTTTGATGAGACAATGCATAAGAAATATGAAAACTGTTAGATTGCATGTTTCTAAACGGATAGTAAATTTTTTCATTACAAAATTTTGTTAATGAACTCAAAACTGGCCATTCAAATACAACCAGTGATACAGATGAAAATGAACAATAATCATCATCATCATCATCATGCAATCCATTTCGAATTGAAAATTTTTTTCGGAATACCGAAGATTCAATAATCTTTCTAAATTCAAAGCTGCCGTGTACTCTGATGTGAACCACTCGTTATTAATTGATGATCTTGGATTGAGATTAATTCATTCAAAACTACTTGAGAACTGTCCAACCATATAAAGTAAACAGCATTCGTTTTTCTGTTGTTTTGTAAAACGTAAACGACTGTGAATCATCAAAAACTCTCACTTGAAATTAATTTCCATAACAATGAAATTCATTGAAATATTTTAGTCATAAAGTGTAATAAATCAACCAGTAATAGATTGACTAATATTTTCCCAATCAAAATATTTAGTAGCAGTGTCGAATGTTCGATTTAACTGAAATACTTTTCGTGTATCTTCTAAACGTGTAGAATAAAGGCAATCATAACCGTAAGAATCTAACATTAATTGAACATAAGAACGTCTAGCACGCAGAAGAGTATTATGTCTATCTGTCCATTCAATTTCATGTCTATCAACTAATAGTAATATATTGTCGAGAATCATTTTTTCTAAAAGCTGCACTTCTGTTCCAGACATACTTATTTTAACATGTATTTTAGTTCTATGATGTTTAACTAAACGAGCAAGCCAAGATGAAAAGTCAATAGCACCCAAGTCTTTTAAATCAGTATCGATAGCTAAATAGAAAACAAACAAAAATTATTTACCAGTTGTATTTTTCTTCACATAATTGATAGTTAAGTGGATCAGGTTCAAATATAATTATATCATAAGCTGCACTATTGGAAATAAAATGTTCAATTGTTTCACCGTTAAAACAGTCAATATAAGGGTTCTTACTATTCAGTAAAACAATATTATCTTGTAATTCTAATTTTATTACTTGATTATATGTTTCAAAATTCACTCTTCATTATAAAGAATTTATGTAACAAAAGATAACATTGTATTGATGTCTGCTTCTGTATGTGTTATTAAATGGGTAGTAATCATGAAAGTTTGTATTTTTCTTCTTGTTTCTCAGTGTCTTTTGTTACGCATCATTGAAAAGTAGAGTAACATGAAGAATGTTCTGAAATCAGAGCTATTCGTATGATGAAAACAGATTTTTATCTACGGATGTATCGGCTGTTTCATCTGTAAGATTATTTATCATTGAATAATCACACATCTTCAAAAAAGAAAAGAATTTTATTATGAGAAGTTAATTTCGACACTCCCTCTTTACCACACTTTCTTCTTTTGCAAAGTCGTTTTCTTATTCATTCATTTTCTGTGTAAAAAACATCAAACATTTTAACATATTTCTGATCTGTTTTTAATAATGATAATAATTTTTTGAATACTCCATGAAGCTGATCTAATCAAAGGTTTGCATTATTAGTAGTATCAATAAGACGTTAATACGAATGATTTGAAAATAAATAACCTACATTTAATGTATACAGTAAATAGACATATATTTGAACTAAAATGATGTTTTTTGACAGTCCATGAACCTGAATGAAGAGCAGATCAATTTGGTTGGATTGATAAATATAGCTCGAAAATAGTTTTCACTAAATTGTGCATTAGTAAAGTTGTCAAAACTTTGTATCTTTGTTTCCATCGGAGACAGTCTAGTTAGATTTTGATGATCAATTGAAAGAAAATTAGTCTTTCCAGATTGAGTGGAATTACAATGAGCTTAATTTTTTTACAATAATTATAGCTGCATTCTTATGGAGCCTCTCGTATAATGCATGTTTATTTTGTCAGATTTGATGGTAAGAACGTTTTTCTAGTATTAAAATGATAAGTGTGTCCTAGTTTCACAAAACAAAATAAAAAGCTTCACAACAGGGCTCCTAATGGGATGGGATGGGACGAAATTTTCGTCCTGTGGGATAATGCAAGTCGTTCCATCCCATCCCATGGGTTCCCATGGGATTCGCTATATTACGAAAAATCTTACTGGAGATTCGAAGTTTTCCAGCATTCCGATTTGAATATTGGAATTAGGGATGCATCAATTCCTAGTACATTGCAAGAAAGCTGCCATTTTTGCCTGATGTAGAATGGAGTTGTCCTCTGATTCCAATTATCAGCCAAGGCCATTTTTTTGTTCTATATAAAACGATAGCCGAGATTTATGAAAGATTAAACAACGTTTTCGGATTTGACTCAGAATTTGAATTTTCAAGTTGTTTTCGGTTGAATCCAAGTCAATTTCAGACTTGCAGTCTGCATTACACAAATTCTAAGAATAGATTTGAAAAGAACGTTCAAAACTGAACAGAAAAAAATAAGTGAGTAGAGGCTTAGTCCATAACTCTTAATGCTGAAAACATGTAAATATTGGATAAAAAATTCAAGAAATTGACAAGATTTGATCTTTTCCCTACTTAAAAATGACGTGCCCGGTAGTGAGAATTATCGATCGAACATCTCTTTCTTCATATTTTTCTGTTCAGTTTTGAACACTTTTTCATCTTGAATAAATTTGGATCATAGTTTTTCATAGATCGAAAAAAATGATCTTGGCTGATATATGGGTTGGAATATGATTATCAATACCTTTTAATTCTCTTTGTGATGTTGTAAACGAAATTTGATTTTCTCAACTGAATATTCCTGTTTATTCGAAACTAAGGATGATAATGAGGAAGAAATAATTATAGAAGGTGACATTGAACAATTTATAAAACAAAAGATGATGATATTTTATTAAAACATTGAAACACCAAGAGCATTTATGTTTATTTCTGTTTTCTATCATTTTCTCTTTAAAAAAATCACATTTCCCATGAGATTCGGAGCTCATCCCATTCCATCCCGTTAGGAGGCCTGCTTCACAACAATAATAATGGAGTTCTCAACAATTCTTGCGTGATAAATAGATTTATTAGCTAATTACCAATCATTTTTCATCTGATTATTAATTGTATGTAAATTCACTCTGACTATCTGCATGATATGATAACATTATAATGTACGTGATAAAAATCAATGCACAATGTCGATTGAGAACTAAATGATTCGCAACAAGACATAATGATGTGATTAGTATATGTATATATGCTTGCTCTAGCTCAAATAGAAGATCTTAACAAGATTTTTAGATCTCCGAGTAATAAAAAGCAAACTTTTGTTCGTATTTACCAATGATTGATCAATCTTATGATAGCTTGATTTCGAAACTACACAATGATAAACAGGATTGATTTCAATTCTAACAAAAGCTAAACATTTTTATTATGATGATATGCAAGCGTGTTATTTTGCAAGATCAAGCTAATATTATAGTTTTGTATTCTAAAATTATACTCTTTCTATAATGAAAGTGAATGAAACTTCAATGTTACATTTTCATCTTCAAATACTCATAGAGAATGTTCTTTTTGTTTTTACTTTTAAATGTAGTTTATTGGTAAACATATAAATGTTCACTAATCAATTATCGATCATGCCACCGATAGAAATAACAGTGATTATGATAATTTATATAGTAGTCGATACGAGGACGATTCGTTTCTCAGTAATAATTAGTGTTCTGTGCAGTTTAACATGCACACTTGTTTGTTTGATGTATTTGTTTGCTCATCTCACGGTGCCATTTTTTCTCTCTTTACCAACAGAAAACAAGAAGAAAAAACGGCTAACGCTATTTGTAGAATTTATTTAAGAAATTGATCTCATCAAACACTATTGATATAATGAAGAAGATAATTGCTAATGTATTCTTATGAATGCATATATTTCGGAATATATCGATTATAATTAATAGATAATTATCATTTGTATTTTATGAAGATGAGAGAATAATATAAATAATAATAAAAAGCTAATTTAAAAAAGAAAAAGAGAAGAGAGAAAGCACAACGAAAAAAATTATTATTTCTAAAGTTTAATACAAGATAGAAAACAAGAAACAAATAACTCGACGTCATCAGCTTGAAAAACAAAACACTGTGAATGTTTTTTTGCACAAATGTGCATTTGATTTTTACTTGACAACTGAATTTTTGAAAAGTTTACACATAAGAAAAAGAAGCATCATCAATTTTGCTATATTGGTATGATCTATAATAGTAAGTAATTACACCAAAAAGTCACGTCATCACCTAAATTCAGGTGATTTTAAGGTTTCATAATACTAATCAAATACTATCTATGTTCGTGTTTATCTTTTATCGTCAATTGTATAGTGACATTAGAAGTCTTTTTTTATCAATAGATGCTTGATTTCTACTTTTCCCCTCATCTATCTCATCATTTTATGTTGATTTCTAACAATACGAACTCAATTGATCATTAATAATGAATGTAACAAGAGCTCAACGGCTAGAATCATGAGAACGAACGATTCAATGCAAAAAGAAAAGAAAAGAAAAGAAAGTGAAAATCAACACTGACGAATGACTACTTTCCTTTGTTGCTACGTCATTGTCATCATATTTGCTGCTACTGCTATGCTTGTTTGATGGCGATGAGTTTCAACATGTGAGAAGTCATTCAACTTACAGTCAACATCATTCGCTGTTACTGTTGCTGTTTCTTTGCTATTTTTATTCTTACTCGCTCCTTCAATGATTTCGAACATCACATATATATACACACAAACATACCTGTCACATAGTCACTAATACTCTTCCACTAGTAATAATAATAATAATAATAATATTAATAATAGTATAATAAAGTATGACACAGCCTTCATTACTGCTCATTTATTGTCATTATGTTGATTATCAATGATTATCATTTTGAATACTATCAATAGTATTTATAAAGAATTAAAACAAAAAACAGGTAGGAATACTAATGTTCCTTGAGAGAAAATAGATAAGACACTAATAGTAATTAAAGAACGAATTAATGATCAATGCATATATATATATATAGTCATATACACTTTTTTTTATCGCGTGATAGTCGGATTTCATATAAAAGTCGGGATCCGATTGATGTCAAAGAGAAGAACTCATTATGAATTGAAGCGTTTTGCATTCAATAGTGCTGAAAACGTCAATTATAGACATTCTGATGAATATTGTAGATTTTTACGCATAATTCATCAAAAATAGCAAAAAAGCAAGAAACCAAGTAGAAATCGCTATTTGCACACGTCTGCGTTTATTTGCTTTTGTCCATGCATATCTTAAACTCGATTATTTTCTTTTTCTTTTATTAAAATAAAATAGAATTTTCTTTTCAAGGAATTATTCAATTAATTTTAAATCTCAATCTATAAATATGGTTCATGATATAAATAATACTGCAACACCAGACAAAGCATCTACGATAGGTACTGGTGATATATCATTAGATGAAAAACGTAAAAAAGTTGGAAATTATGTTATATTAAAAACAATTGGTGAAGGCAGTTTTGCTAAAGTTCGATTAGGTATTCATTTAATTACTGAAATGAAAGTAAGTATTGGTTTTCTTTTTTTTCTATTGTTCATTATTTAAACTGTCAGAGCAATGCTATTATTGATAAATATATATTTTTTAGGTTGCTGTTAAAGTTATTAATAAGCGTGAAGTATTTAAACGAAATTATTTACGAGCTAATTTACGTCGTGAAGCCTCAATGATGCAACGTATGTCCCATGAACATATTGTTCAATTACATGAAGTTATGGAAACGGAAAATTCCTATTATATTGTCATGGATTTAGTTCAAGGCAGTGAATTTGTTAAATATTTAACAAAAAAGTAAATATAACAAAAGTTGTTACTTTCATTTTCGTGATTCTACGTTATGGTAATCTCAGGAAACAATTAGATGAGAATGAAACAAGAAAATATATTCGACAAATTGTTTCTGCTGTTGATCATATGCATCATGCAGGCGTTATTCATCGAGATATAAAACTACAAAATTTTATGCTTGATCAAAATAATGATATTGTTATCATAGGTAAAATCAATAATCTTTTATTTTCATATGTATCAGTGTTTTTGTTATTTTTTGAAAATTTTATTTGATAGATTTTGGTTTAAGTAATTGTCTTGATGATAAAGGTTTTTTAACTACTCAATGCGGGTCACCAGCGTATGTCTATTTAATTTCTCATTTTTCTTTTTAAAAATAAGAATCATGTTTTTGCATTATTCAGTTATGCTGCTCCAGAAATATTTGCACATCAAGAGTATGGTTCAGCAGTAGATATTTGGAGCATTGGTGTTAATATGTATGCTATGTTAGTTGGCAAACTTCCATTTAAAGTTGAACATCGCAGTCGAAATCTTGCTAAACTTCATGCTTGTATTCTCAAAGGTTGTGAAATACCAAATACACTTTCAAGAGGTAAATAATCAAATGGGTTTAAAATATTAATTTGTTCATTTCATTGAAATGATTTAGATTGTCAAGATTTATTAACAAGATTATTAGAACCTTCACCAACAAAACGAATATCAATGCAAGAAATTCTTCGTCATCCATTTTTAGTATCACAATTGGACCCTATTTCACTTACACCATATAGACCACATTACGAAGTTCGAGAAATAAATAAAAATATTACTAAATATCTTGCATTAAAGTAAGTTCGTTGAAAATTAAAAAAGGAAATATTTACTATGTTAAATTTTACCAGACATGATTATTCAGAACAAGAAATTGAAGATGCTGTATTACACAGAAAACCAATTGCATCTCGAGCACTTTATACATTATTTGAAAGACGTCTTCAAGAAGGTCTCGGTTGGCCTGATCGAGCATATAATAATTCAGTTGCAGGTATGTCATCGACAAAAGCAACAACAGGTGGCTGTGCTATGGGTGATGGTTCATCAGATGTTATTCTTCTCGATAAACTTGATCGTCATGAACCCTTGTTACCTGGTCGCCGTGTGGCACCTCGACAATCATCATCAGTAGTAAATAATAACAATAATAAGATGATTCGAGAAAAATCAAATTATGCTCTTGATGAACAAATTTTCGTACGAACCAATACCGGTGGTGGTGGTGGTGGTGGCAGTACTATGACTGCTGGTTTAACACAGGAGGCACTAAACGAATTAGTACCAGTATCAAGAATAGGATCACGAAAATTATATCATGATATTGTTTTAAGAAAAAGTTCAGCTATTGGTGGTCAGGCAGAATTGACTAATGAACATGATGGTACACGACGAATAATAAATACAAATAGTCTTGTTCCTATCAAGCCTTCTGTTTCAACGCAACGAGGAAATATTTTTATATTACAGCAACAGCAACAGCAACAACACAAAATGAAACCACGGAGTTTACCAAATTCAACACTCGATCATGCTAATCAAAATGGTTTTCATTTACCACATGATCCATATGGTTCTCGTGCATCAAAAAATCCTAGTCGAACGTCACATTTTGAACATCCGAAAAAAAGTCAACAAAATTCACCTATTCGATATAACCCTGGTAAGTTCAATATAAATATATATATATATATATATACATTTTTTTTTCTTGATCATTTAATCGTTCATTATATTATCCCCATACAGTGTCTGTTTCTTCCTGTGTTTTTCGTCTCACTCTTGACGAAACTGTCATCCATCGTAATAATTAGGTATTATTTCTGTGCTTTATTTTTGTTGTGTATCAATGATCTGCCCATGTCGCTCTCTGCTTATTTTTTTTCTACTCTCGATTTACCAATTGTCCTTCTTTTTGTGTTTGCATTATTTTTTGTTCTTTCAAATTGAAATACTTCATTCAAAGACAAAATTGAATAGAGCAAAAAAGAAAAGCCTTTCAAGTTATTTTTCGAATGCTGTTAACCTTAAAAAAAATTCTTTTACAATACATTTTTTTCTTCTTCTTTTTAGCTCCATCAGTAACAGTAAAAGCAATTGGATTGTTTTTAAAAAATTCTGGTCTACAATCACGTGTTAGTTCATGTAGTAGTAAATCATCAAAAAGTAGTGGATGTGGAACACTTGATATTCATCAACAATCACCACCATTGAAATTCTATCCAAATACTAAACAGACAATAATTAATTATCATTCACAAGGAAATTTAACATCAACAGCTACAACAAAACAAAAATTAGTAAAAACAAATGGATCATCACATCATATTTCATCAAACAAAGTTCCACATACGACAACAGCTGGCGGACAAAAAGTAATGCCGACATAAGCTGCGAAATTTTTCTTTTCTTCTTTTTTTTTCTTCTTTGACCAGTGCATACGGTGCTTTTCATTTCGTCTTTTTCGATTGTTAACGGTTGGTTTTTTACGAATGAAAATATTAATTACCTTTGTCTGTATATAAGACAGTGTCTCAAAATTTAGTGATTTTTCTTATTTAATATACATCGAAGTTTCTATTGATTAAATGAATGCCTTTCTTTTACAGTTTTCTTTAACTACCATATAAGACTACGAATAGAACAACAATACAGTTTGAAAGAATAATCTATATCTATTTTATACTATCTTGAATTTGGAAATTAAAAGAAACACATTATTCTTATCATCGAGTAGGCGACGGAATGATTTCGATCTAGGGTAGGCTCAACGTTTTGGACAAATCAAGTCTCACCATTGAAAAAAATAGAGTTGAAGTCAGACTGAAATCGACTAAAAGCACTTTAAGTGCCAACTATAAGCATACGATTTTGATCGTCTTTTAATCATTTTTGTTTAGCTCGCATTTCTGCACGGCACAAGTAATGTTATTCGAGTGTCTAAGATTTAAAAGTAATTTTAAACAGAAGTTACAGAAACAATTCAGCTATCTTAAATTAAGAATTACGAATTAGATGTCAATTAAACGTTCAACTAATACTTCATTGCGAACGAGTTACTAGTAGAGAAAATATGAAATGATCTTGTAATAATGCATTATTTGTTAGAAAAGTCCCAAAACTGAACAAGAATAAAACCATTTTGCATATAACAACCTATCCAAACATTTATCTGTTCCAATTTCAGTCTATCAAGATCTACCCACTTCCAGCTTAGAATAGGCTAAGCCTACCCACTTTGAAATCTAGGGTAGGTTTGAGCCTCGCGAGCCTAATGGCTCCGCCGCCTATGACGTCCATCAACATATGAAGCACATGGCAGTTGTCAAAGGGTGGAAAACCGGATCGCAGGATTCTCTGTATCCCGAATGGACCGTGCGTATCAACTGTATTGCCGATAGATCTTATTATCTTCCTTGTATTGTGGGATGTGTGAGTATGGATGTGCGTGCTCATGGTTGCAGGTGTGTCTACACTATCTTCTTTGAACCCAAACCCTCAATATCGACAAAACCAAGCGAATGGGAAACGAAATTTCAATAAGATCCTGATACAACACTATACATAATTTGGAATTTTAAATTATTTTTAGGAGACAAAAGTCAATCTAGAAAGTGATTGAAACTGGAAACTACTCTTTTATTCACAGAATTTTTTTTCCTATGCGCTTGAACTACGCAGTTCTCAAAATTGGCCCACAGGTCGTGGCTTTTTGTTACTCCAGAAGCGGAAGAAACTGATGAGCATGAGCAAGACGGTTCCATTTGACCATTGAAATAAGACTAAACTTAACTCTGATGTAATTGTCTATTAAATTTATATTCATTGGTTCATTTCTCATAAAACACTACAATTTTAAGTGGACCCATGTCGTCTCTTTTTTATCAACTGTGCCGCAGTTACGCGCAGAGTCAATTTTGCGTCGCAGTTACGCGTAACTATGACGCATTGATCGTAGTGAAGATTTCTATAAGAAACTACGCCTACTGTAATGCAGATCAACGTAATTGCGCCTAGTGATCGCATCCTACGATCCCTTGTAGGTATAAATGGCCAATTAAAAATTATTCCTCCTTATTTGTAATTGGCTACACTCTAACAATAAAACATAGTCACAGAAAATCAGTATAAATAGCAGTGCTTGTCACATTTTCTTTCATAAGCCATTCTACTATAAGCAGTAGAATACATATTTTTTACTTTTTTAAAATTATTCTAGATTTAAATCTTTTAAGTTTTTCAATTTTTTTGTAATTAAATTTTTTTCTTCTTGTTATGATCTGTGTATGCACACACAGATCATTAGCATCATCTATCTTCTTTCTCCTATTGTCCTCTACACATTATTATGTATTCTTTATCTCATTGGAGATAATTGAAGACGAGTATATCTGTCCCCATCATTGTTCAGAGTTCTTGTTGATTATTGTTAAAGTGTATGTTATCGAACCTGCTAATAAAAAAGTGAAAGTACACCTTAACACTTCTATTTATTAATTTTTTTTAAAAATTGTGTTAGATGTTAATATTTTTATTTTTCTAGATATTTATTTTTAATTTTCCTTAATTTTTAAAATAAATTTTTTTTTAACTTTTAACTTGGTAAATTTTGAAATTTTTTTGGGTTTTAACTTTTCAATTATTTTTTATTGTGAAAATTTTTAATTTAAAAATTGTTTTTTTACTTTTTATAAAAATTTTAATTTTATAGTTTAAAGCTTTTTATTTTGTGCAAAATGTTTTTAATTCACAATAAAAGTACAAATAAAATGAAAAGCTAATCTATGTCATCTTTTGTACCAATTGCGACGACACTGTGACCCATAATTGTGAAAAACTTGGACGCAGTTATGCGTAACTGGGATTTTTTCACCCTAGTTACGCGTAGTTACGCATCAATTTTCCGCAATTACGAGTCACAGTGCGATCGCAGTTACACCGTAACTGCGTCACAGTTTCATCGTAATGAAACACATGGGAACTATCCCTTCTTTATGCACCAAGTGTTTGCAATATCTGGAACGTTAAATTTGTTACTTTCTATAAATCGGAAAACACTGCTCTGCGCTCTCGCCCAGTGGCAATCATGACCGATAATGATTCTACTACTTTGAATAAGTAGGCAGCACTACTAAATTTCAACATGTATCCCCGCTGAGCCGATTTTATGAAATAAGGGGTTGGTGTGGGTGCTGATATGAAAAGTAGTTTATCACAATGGAAAATCAGTAAAAGTCTCACTAATAGGGAGTACTACATCGGCATTGACACTCACACCCACAAAATCATCATGATCCATAAGTGTCAATCAATCATATGATTCTCGAAGAGGTTCAGCGGCGCTCACGCTTCTTTGCGTTCCGTTAGATTTTCCATTAACCTAAATACTAGTAAAAATATTTTCCTTGGCAAGAAGCTACATCTGATGAATCCAATATGATTGCTTCAAAGACAAGCCTCTTAGAAGAGTAGTGTCGATAATGATTTCTCAATCATGGTATATCTGCAAGCCCCATTCCTGAAGTACTCATACTACGCGAAGCGTGATGTACCAGAAAAGCGTCTAAAATAGCACATACTTGAGGGTGTGTGAGTGTTTATGTGTCTGCTCTTTGCCGATTCACCCACACCTCGCAGCCTTCAGTAAAACTATTTTATTGTATCGCTTACTACACATAGATTTTGAAAACTCTCAACTGCACGCACAGTACTAGCAAAAGTGGTCTGCGGTTCCGCAAAATTCGGAACCGACAGCCGAACCAGAACTGAGTTTTATAAATTATTTCGAACTGGAATCAGAATCGGAACCGAAACCGTTTTTTTTAAATGATCGCTGACATTACCTATTTTTTATTGACGCAATGCAGTACAGATGTTTTTCATTGATAGTAGAAAGCTTCAAGCTTAACAGAAAAAAGTAAGAATGGTTTTAATTTAACACAATATAATTTTTTTGTTATTTTTAGTATGCCCACTAAAAACATTCGACGTGAAAGCGCGGTATTTTAACTTCAATGCAACTTTGTAGAATGCCATTGTAGTCATAAAAACGACAGCGGTTCGCTGTATCGTGATCAGGGACACGACAGTTCAGTTTTAGTTCCGATCTGACGAACTGTTAGGATCTACTCTGAGTTGACGTCTATATCGACATAGAAATCTTCTCTGGAATCTGATCGGATCTGTTCGAATAGTTCTTTCGCTCATTTGATCTGAACTTTGATCTGAGAACTGCTATACCTCTGATTGCGATAAAGTCTGTGACAGTTCGAGAACTGGAGTTGGTACCAATCAACCATTTCTTTTAAAAAGAACTGCAATTGGTCACTCTAGCCAGCGTTTTTTGCGTGAAGTGGACTAACAATTGAGTAAAATAGCTAACTGCCAAAATAAAAACAAAGAACCTGAATGAAAGAAAGCCTTGATTAAACCGAATTCTTGAACGAAAGAGAGCCACTGTTACCAGTTCTTCCAGAAATAACTGGTTGCTATTACCATTTCTTTCGAGAAGAAACTGATTGATGGATCCAGTTCTTAGAACTGTGAGTTGTCACATGCCTAATCTCGATTAATTGTAGTTTGATAAACCGCTGTTTTTGACGAAAGACCGTAGCTATATTTCCCCATTCTCTGCATGTGAAAGTATCCCGAATTTTGTAAAGACAGAGAGACTATCTTGCTCTGTCTTTTCGAAGAAGTCTCTCAGTAATTATATTATCAATCTGACAACACAGAAATTGTTTTTGTGGCGATGGAACTTCATAAATTCACTACATCGCCACTAGAATGGCAACTTTCCTGAACTTCGGTGGTAACTCGGGTGTGGGCGTTATTGTCAATGTAACTTTTCTCTTACCTTATACACACCCTACTTTTAATGGTATTGGATGTGGATGTGAGTGAAGATGTCCTCACCAATGACTATTCCTATACCCCCACATATCCACCCGACACCTTTTCGAATTGAAACCCTTTTCTACGTTTCATTTGACTCTTCACCTTTTGAATCACTTCTTTATTACTAATAATGCGTGCACGACCTGATGAGGGCGACAAATTGGTATCACCTATCTCTCTGGTCATTTTACGCTACCGTCGAATGGATCGAGATCTCACAAAATCGCTCAAATCTTCAAAAGTTTCCGTTCAAAATTCAACGTTTTCATACTTAGAAAGTACGAGCTTCTGAAGATCTTCGCTTTTCATCGTGGAAAATTTTTCTTAAAAATATGTTTCGATAGAAACCCCCCGTTTTTGTGCAGTGAACAACGAATCAAACAAGCAAAAAAAAGAGGTCGTCAAAGTAAATTATCAGTGAGAAAATTGGAACAGAACAGGTTTCCGTTCTTTTTGCAGCACCCATTATAATTTTGTTCATCATTTCGTGTCAAGCTGATAGCGCCTGATATTTCGTCTTCAGTTCCTACCGTGTATTTTCCCGCGGTTACTATTATTGACCTGTCGATCGTTGATCATTAAAAAATCATTTCATTTTCCATTATATTCATCAGATGTTAATCGTTTGTATACAGAACTTGTAACAAGCCTATTATTTTGTTTTTCAATTAGCACAAGGCGTTCTTTTAAAAATCTCTTGCACCATCATTTACATTACTCATCAATGATCAGTCATTATTACTCACTAAAATTAATAAGTGTAATTCCAACATGTTTTGTTAATATTCTATTTTACCTTATCCAAAAATGTACTCTTCACATAGCAACTCGCACGCTAGTCTAGATAACAAGGAACACCAACAGATATTTTACATGGTTCGTAAAAGTTCTGTTTATCTAATTAGAGTTTCAAATGTTATACTTTACTAAGCCTATCTATGATGCCTGATTTCTCATCTAAAACAAATGTCTAATTTTTATACAGTTCAGCTCTTTGTCTTTGGTACTAGTCGTGCATATTGATCTTTTTGTAATTGAACAGCTTTTCTTTTTATCCAACACCGCCCTGTTTCATCACCTGGAATAGATAGAATTTCTTCTGTTATATTATGCCAGTTTCGAAAATCGACTATAGCACGAAAGCATTCTTCAATTGAATAATCGTCGATGATAATAACACCACCCACTTGTAGTTTTGAATATAAATTAAATAGTTGATCCATAGTCGATTCGTACATGTCACCATCCATTCGAAGAACAGCTAATCGAGAAACATTACAGCGTGGAAGCGAATCAACGATATATCCTTTACAAAAATGTACACGATCGTCGAGTAAATTAAATGACCGAAAATTTGTTTGAACTTCTTCAAGTGATACCTAAAAACATAAAGATAACAAATTATTCTGTTCAGATGGCTAAGTGAATACCTTTAAATATTCCATTTTCGACCAAATATCAGTATCATGCGGTGTTCTCGCTTTTGGTAGTCCTTGAAATGAATCAGCTAACCACACATGTCGGTCATTATTATTCAAAGCCTTTAGTACAGCGCGAGCGAATATCGAACTTCCACCTCTCCAAACACCACATTCAATATAGTCACCCTTGACACCGTTGGCAATAACGAATCTGATAGCCCATTCGATATTTATCAATCGTCTCTGTCCAACCATCGTAATACCAGTTAATGGCCAATCTAAACCTTTTATGCGTTGATTGATATCCATTGGGCACGTTTTATTATCAACATAGGCACATTCTTGTGTGCGAAGAGCTAAGCCACAGACAGTATCCCGAACGACATCAACATTTGCACGAACCATAGGAGATTCATCAGAAAATACGAAAAATTGATAGCCTTCATATGAAATATTGCGAATGTGGCGTATATGTGAGGTTCGACGGAATATGTTATTATTAGAATAAAATGCAGACGATGAGAAATAGTAGCATCCATTGTACATAGCCAATAATGTGATAAATGTTAGTGCTATTCCTGCAGCGATGCCATATATGAATGAACTAGTCATTTTAAGTTTTGTGTGTCGAAAGGAGTTGCCCTTCAGTGAAAAGAACGACGATACAATGGATGTATCAACAGGCTAATATATGAAATATTGGTCTTAGATGAACAAAAAAGCTTGATAAAATTCGAAGTAGTCTTGAAACGCTCGGTTGATCAATATTCACCTATTTAGACCTACACTGAAGAGCAATTCTGTGTTTTTGCACTAAGGTATCTTCCAAGGTAATATCCACTGGAAGTAAATTAAAATCGAAGATGTTTTTTGAATCGAACATAATCGAGTATATGGCTAGGAGCCAGCGTGTCACGTATTTTAAGTGGAAAAATGATATAATTCATTCCAAACGACTTAATTTTGAACATTTACGTCTTGGCTCGCGATGTTTTCTTGTATGTTATGTTTTCAGTTTGAATTTAGTTGTAAAAGATCGAAATATAAGCATGCAAAGGTTAAACACATAACAGCGATTAAAAATAGTAATCTTATTGTGCCAATATCGATGGTACGCTCCGATGATTTTCATTGCTTCTCTATTTTTTCTCTGCCCATTATTCTAATATCTCTATCTCACCTATATATAATTGTGTTATTTATGAAGTTGTTGCACTCTTGGATATGTAAAATAGTGAATAAGCATCATTGCCGAGAGTGGCGGTAGACTAATCCTATTTAGTTAGTCATTATATATCGACTCTACCAGGGCGTTATCGTTACAGGACGACTCTAGCAGATCTTGGTTATTACATCTCGACCTTGATTAACGAATTGTTGCCAATTCTGAATGTAAGTTGGATCTTACCAAATAAACAACAAAATAACATTAATCAAATTGTTCGGTAATATGGTTAGGCACCGAAGCACGGTAAATAATACTCATAGAAGTGTAGAGAGGATTAGAAAGACAAGAGTTAAAAGACATGGTGCTGTCGACTGGCTGCATTATTGGTGCTGTTACAATATTGAGTAGAAGGCAGTGTTACAGAACATCAGTAAACTTACAAGATGGCAAGTATGTTTCCGGCCGACAATGCAAAGCATTGACGCATTTTTCTTTTTAACTCTTGCACGTTTTATGTCGCTTCTTCTAAAATCTATTCATCACTCTTAGTATCAATCATATTTTTTTCTGTTTCGGCTATAACAAGGTACTCTAAAAGAAAGGGACTTTTGCAGAACCCTTTTGAAGATTATGCAGTTAGGTAAAACACAACATCCTCAAGCAGGTTCTCTCCGAAAGTGGATTTCGTAAAAACAACCAGCATACCATTTATAATTCCTCGTCGGAAATGGTTTAATCTAAAGGGGCTTGGTGAGAAACTGAAGAAATCGTTGATAGTGCTTCATCAAAAAAGGTTCAACTTGACAGAAAATTTACCGAATTTGCATGGTTTTTCATAAAACCTATGCTACTCCGCATATATACGAGCTCTAAACTAGAAGTGTCCACAGGGCAGGATGCAGGGCAAAAATTTGAAAAAAATACCTTGCCCTGTACAGGACAGGGCTATATCTTCATGGCCTGCAAATTCTGCATATACCTACTTTATTTTGAAAATAACAACAATTTTATTTTTCTCGGAAACGTGAAAGAAATTAAAAAAATCAGATGACGTTATTATATGATAAATAGATTCTTATATTTGTGTTTGTATGATGACCGTATGAGGTCCAATCAAATTTGTAAGGAAACAAAAGAAAATAATAAACTAATCATAATAGTGATAATAGTGCACTTATATTTTAAATATAATTGTAATAGTTGCTCATGTTCTTATTATTTCAATAAAACTATTAAAAATAAAACTGCGAGAATGCATCCTATTCCGCAATGTTAAACATTCCGGAACCAGTTCCACGCACGGAATCAATTCCTTCCAATTTCGGAACTCGCGGAATCACTGCCAGCCAATCCCATCCCATTCCAACCAATTCCTCCAATTCCGTTTATCCATTTCGACACAATTCCGGAATTAATGGAACCACTGTCTACCAATTCCTAGAAATTCCCTTAATTTCGTGTGATTCCAGAATTGAGTAAGCAATGGATAATTCATATCAGCTAGCGCCCAGTCTCGAATGCAATTCTGCTACAGAATTCGCGGGTTCGGTGTCAAGATGGGTTGGATGGATTATCGTGATATGGTTGAGATCCAGTCGGATGGGATTGGATGTGTTTCTTTAAGCTAGTAGTAATGGTTTCATTGTTAATGTCTCTGTTGAGAGTGCAGTATTGCCGATAACCTGTTCTCTAAATTGAATCTGTATTGTCACATAGTTACGAGGCCGATATGGTTAGATGTGAGTCTGCAGTGAAATCTACGAGGGTGGTCATATGGATGACCACGCTGAGACAGTATTTTCCCGCACTGATACTGAAGCTAACGCTGGAGGCCGCGTGCAACGTTACCAACACGCACACTGACACAGTCACCCACGCCCACACCCACACCCTCAAGATATATTGATGTAGTCAAAGTGTATGGGCAATGTGTCGGTCATTCGAATTTAAAGGAGGGGGCGGATAACAAGCCAAATCGGTCTATATCTTAAATCGTTTAATATATAGTATCTTTCGATGTGGAATTGTGCACAGTCTTTTTATAGCAATTTCCGATCGATTCAATTATGGTTAGTGCTGGCGAGTACTACCCAGGTCGAACGATCTGAACCTCGGATCCCGTCGGAAACCTAGAGTAATCCGATACTTTTCGATACTTTCCGATAGGAATCCGACAACTTCCGATGGATTCCTTGGTATTGGATTCCGACAGGAAGTTATCGGGTGTCGGATCCGACGATTTCCGACGGTAAAATCCGACAATCAGAAAATGCCGGATAGCTTAGGATCCGACAATTTTTTTACTGTAAGTAATGTCAAGCAGCATTTTTTTCCAACATTGCTGCTTCATTTGCAGCAGCTTTACTTTATTTGGCTAATTGAAAAGTAATAGAAGGGGAGAATCTACGGCTTTTTTGGTTTGATTTACATTTATAATCGGTTCATATTAGAAGCGTTCATACAAAGAAAAAAAGATGGCACACATATTACAAAACAAAAATAGGAAAATATCTGAACTAATACTTTTGTGCACAAAAAACCGGTCATACACAAAAAAAAGAAAGAAAAGTATCATTACTAGATTCAGTTCTATATAACCCAAAGTATTGATTATTAATCTCGATCACATGCTGAAGTTAGTGGTGGTTTGTTAATTCTTTCTTGCGTGCTCGTTTACCCTCGTCGGACAAAAAATTGGCCAGTTTGCGTCTAATCAACTTGTGAAACAAACTGTCGTATCGACTTTCAATTATGTTATTTTTATATCCTAACGATCCTAAAAAAATCAGAATCGAATAAATAAAGCGATCAAAACCTGTATAAAAATAAGTGCATCAAAAAAAATTTTAAATGAAATATTTTACACTATCTGAACTTCTAAGAGCAATTTCCCAGTAGCAGTTTCACCTCTTATCTATCATTTTTCTTGTACTCAAAAGATACATCGACACTAGAAAAAATCAATGCTTCTGCATAGTGGACTTACCATACGTGATAAAAAATTCACAAGTAGAAAATTAAAAATTAATAAACAAATGTACCACAATCAAAAAACTTTTTATCATGACCAAGTATTATATCCTAAAATAGATAAAACTATAGATTTGCAAAATGTGATACTAGAACTTATGTGGGAAATTCGGATTCAACTAAAATAAGTATAAAAAGAATCGGCCATTAAGTATGTCTCTACTTACCAAGCTCCATACTATATAAAAGTAAAATGACCAGTCGATACTTCTATGCTATTCCTTTTACTTGAGACGATTCTATCTATCTTATGTGTATTGACGGTCTGACAAATGAAATTTGCTTTTCAGATAGAATGGATTTTATTCGACCATAGAAACATGAACAATCCGTTCAATTTATTCTTAAGTTATTTTGAATTTAATTAAAATTCGACTCTATAATTTCATTGTTCCAATATATTAACAAAATTCTTGTTTATCTAAATTAAGTACTTAAGTTCCAGGAAAGCAAAAAACATAATTATTCGTTTTATTATGAATTTTATTCTAAATGAGTGCTAATTTTCAGATTTGAAACTACCCAGGTCGAACAAACTGACACTAAGATCAGGTATGAACTCTCGTATGATCATATCCGATCTTAGTCAAGAATCGTATATGATCATACAAGACCATACGGAAAATCATACGAAAAATCGTCGTCGCTGACATGTGATGTCGGATCTTACATCCGATTTTGTATATGATTTAACATTACGATCTTACGTATGATTATATAAAATGGTACAGGGTGATTATAAGCCATTTCTTCATAAATATCCATTATTGAATATTTTTACGGAGCCGCGCAACTACAATTCTACCCTGAAAAACGACAACCATATGAAACGTAAAAAGGGTTCCGAAAATTGCTGCGAATTCGAAATCATTTTAGATTCCGTGCAAACCAGGTTCTCCACGAACCCTTTGTCAAAAAGGTCAAACATTGGGCTTCTCACACTGCTCTACCTACTCAATTTAGAAAGCTCTGTCTAGCAAACGCCGGTTCCTAGAAAACCCTTCTGAGGTTTCAGGGCTTTCATTTCCCCTCTTCTCAATCGAGAACAACTCGATCGTAACACCTCAGGGCAACAATGCGCGATTAGCTCCTGCAGAAACCAGCGACCAGAACGATCGACATAGAATGCTTGATCTAAACAGAAATAAATTATTTCAAGAGGTTTTAGCTTTCAAAATGGAACTTACCATTATTTCTACTTGTGCTGCTGTGAGATCTAAATAAAAATAAATTACTTCATGAGGTTTTAGCTTTCAAAATCGAACTTACCTTTTATGTTTGATCATATGACACTTGACCTCAGGTGAAATGAAAGACGTAATAATGGTTTGTTTGATTCATCTCCTTATTGACTAAGTAAGGGAGACCTATTTTGCGTAGATAGTTACATCGATAGCACTATTCTATTAATTAT